AGGGCCTCTCCCGCCGATCTCAGGGGGCGGCTGGGCATATATGGATGTAAGCGCTCCTTCAGGTAACCAGGACCCAAGCCGTTTAGGGCTTTATAGGTCATCACCAACACCTTGAATTGGGCCCGGGCTTCAATGGGAAGCCAGTGAAGCTGACGGAGAACTGGAGTCATGTGAACATAACATCCAGTCCCCGTCAGCAATCTGGCAGCTCTATTTTGAACCAATTGAAGTATCCGGACCATCTTCAAGGGTAGCCCCACGTAGAGCGCATTACAGAAGTCAAGACAGGAAGTCACCAGCGCATGTGTCACTGTCGCAAGGCAGTCGTACTCCAGGTAGGGGCGCAGCTGATAAATCAGCCGAAGCTGGAGGAAAGCACTCCTCGCCGCTGCTGTTACTTGAGCTTCCAATGAAAGCTCAGCGTCGAGGAGCACTCCCAAGCTGTGGACCTTGTCCCTAAGAGGGAGTGCAACTCCATTCAGGACAAGGTTCAATTCACCCTCTCCAAAGCCGGATCTGCCAACCAACAGGACCTCCGTCTTGTCTGGATTGAGCTTCAGTTTTGGATTGAGCTTCACATGGTCTTGTTGGAGGGTTGTTTAACCCTTGACAAACCCTGTTGCCCAGATTTGGACTAGGTGGCAAACCATGGCAATCCCTCATTGGGGACAGAGTATTTAAAATGGCTGCTGGCACCTACTAACCACCATGGCTGAAAGAAGCCACTGTGCAAAGTGTCCCATTATTAAGCCGATTGAATTGACCCAGACAAGCAAACACACACCTTGGAAAACACTCACACAAGAATACTGATGACTGTAGCAACCACCAGCACTTTGTGCTAATGCGTACACTTAAGAATATAGGAAAATGATATAGAATGGCAATTTTTAAAAAGTATTCAATAAGGTTAAAATTATATTCTTTTCAAATGGCAATCTCTGAAAGTTGTGCAACAACATCTGACTGTGCTCTGAACACTTTCACCAAAGTTACTTTAGATAATGTATAAATTGCTGCAGATGTGAGTTATACTCAGAGTGTTGAGCAGGTCATCCTATCTCTGAATCTAAGGTTTGTGTAGTTAGTGCACATGTAAAAAGGGTTGGCACATGCTACCAAAACTCCCATAAACCTACATAATTTCATCTCCAATGATCTCCAACCTTTTGGGTACATGGGCATATTTTGAACATGTCATGGGCGCTCTCACAAAATGGTTGCCATAAAATGGCTGCTGTAGTGGGAATGGCTTCTTACAAAACACGTCTTTTCCACAAAGCAAACTAGTGAAGCTGTAAGAAAAGCAACTTTTCCAAAACTGTAAAGAAAGAAGAGGAAATGTCTGAATTCCAAAATGCAAGACAACATTTTTGAATCCAAATTAATACTGGAAGTCAAGCCCTTCACTTTGCAGCATGTCAGCCTTGCAGTATAAAAAAGGGATGTGTGCAAATTTATTTTAAAAAAAATCTAAAGAAATAAAAGAAAAACCAACAGGGAAAATGGTGGGTACTCGGAATAATGTGTGAAGTTAATTGGTACCATGGAACCATAAATAAGGGAGACCTCAGCTCTGCTCTGCACATAGGAAAATGGCTGGGTTGTGTTGGAGCGTGTGGATGGGAACTCCATGCTGGTTGAATCAAGCCCCTGGCCTCCACATGCCCATTTCTACCATAGTCCACAGAGTAGGTTATAGTTGCTTTCTGCAGTGGTTCCGGCTTTGCCACAGCCTGCAAAGGGATGTGTCAGGTCCATTTCTCTCCTACCCCATTCCTTTCACATGATCCAAAATAATGGCTTCAAGCATTCTGTTATTCAGCACTTTGCTTCATACTGTGACATGAGATCGCTGCAATTAAATTGCTGCAACATTGCAACATGGCTTTAATGTTGCAAAACAAAACCAAGACCAAAACAAGAAAAAAGGCAGGGGAGAGCAATGTTAGGTATGGTCTGAGGGTGAAAGCATGAACAGTGGTAGGAAATTGTGAGAACTTTTTAATTTGCTGCATTGAATTGCTGGTCATACTGGGAACTGCCCTGGAAATCCAATTATTAGTCAGTAACACAGGCAGACCCCAGGTTATGAACGAGTCCTGTTCCTGAGGATGTCTTTAAGTCAAATTTATATGTAAGTCAAATCACATACATCTGGGTCGTATTTAGCATGAGTAAGTCAAATGTTTGTCTTAGTATACATATATATTTTACCTTTCTATGCATATGCACTTAAGTAACACTTCCATATACACTTAAATGCAATACAGTACTGTAATAATACAGTAATAACAAAGTGACTACAGGTTCTGAAAAGAGACTCTGTCTGTATGTGTGTATTGTATACAGTATTGTTTAAAAGTAAAAGAAATTCTTCAAACAGTTTAGATAGAAAAAATAGTTAAAAGGTTATTAAAAGTTACCACTCTCATTCCTTTGATGTTCTGAATACCAGAAGGGCATTCTTGCAGTAGCATTAAGCCAAGCATTAACTGGATGATGAGAGAGATGGGACAGGTGTTGGAGAGGATGGACCTGGTGCTGAAGTGTCGGGTTTGATTGTGCTGCTGGAGAGGGGACAGTTTACTACTGGAGTTTCTTTCTCGAAGTAGTCATCAAGGGTTTTTTGTAGCACTGTTTTCTTTTTCTCATCATAAATGGCCTTGTAGCCACTGAGAGCCCCAGTAACTGCATGGTAAACCTTTGTGAACCTGCCCGGGTTAGGATCTTGCTCCTCAATCTTTCCCATTGCTGCTTCAACGAGATGAAAACCTTTGGCTAACTCTTTCATCACAAACTTTTTTGGTTCTGGAGATTTTATGTCCCATTCTTCTTCCTCATGTGCTTTCTGCTGCATCTCCGAAAGGTCTTTATTGCCCAATTCCTTGGAATGGGACTCAGGTAACACTGCAACATCATTTTCATCCATGTCCAATTGTAGTGCATTGCCAATATTGACCACAGCTTGCGTGGCTTTGGCGATGTCATCACCCTTAAAGCCATGAAAACAATCGTCGAATTGGGGGCACAATTTGTTCCAGACTTCTTTCATGGTCGACTGCATCCCAGGAATCAGCAATATTGTTGATGGCATCATAGATGTTATAAATTATTCAGAACTCCCTTAAGTTCATCACATTATTTTCTGTAGCCCTGACTGCTTGTGAGAAGGTACACCATAAATAATAGGCCTTAAAGGCAGCTATGACTCACTGGTCCATTGGCTGAAGTAGTGATGTGGTGTTGGGGGTTAAGGATATGACTTTTACATTGGGGTGAAGGTCATCTAAGGAGCTTGGATGTCTCGATGCACTGTCAAGCACAAGTAGGATCTTGAATTGAATTTTTTTGACCAAGCAATATTGTTCCATAGCAGGGATAAAATGGTTCAAGAACCAGTCTTCAAAGATGGCAATTGTCACCCAAGTCCTTAAATTTGACTTCCAAATTACCGCAAGAGATGCCTTTACAATGTGACAAAGTGCCATCGGATTTAGGGAGTGATACACAAGCAAAGGCCTGGTTCACTTTCCCCCCCTCTTTTGAGATGCAGGTCCTTTCAGGCATTTTTCCCAAAATAGATGTAGTCTCATCTACATTAAATATTTGTTCTGGCAAATAACCCTCCTCCTCCTCCTCCTCCTCCTCACTAATTTTCTTTCACATTTTGGGATATTCAGTTGCTGCCTGTACTTTGTTATGTAAATTTGCCCTTGCCTTAAAATGATTAAACCAATCCCTACTCACAGCAAATTCTTCATAACAATCACCTTCACTTGCTACACCTGCAGCTTTTAAATCATTAAAAAGGCTTTTGGCCTTTTCTTGCAGTAATGCTAGGCTAGTAGGAATGTCATACTGGTTTTGATCCTCTAACCAAATCACCAATAGCCTTTCATTTTTGATAATTAAACCACTGTGTTTCTTACTAATAATTGTAGCTTTTATCAGTTCAGAGCCTTTCACATGCTCCATTATTCTCACTTTATCCTTTAAAATTTTTCCGATTGTTGATCAATTAAAGCCTAATGCTTTCCCAATGACTGATAGCATCTCCTCTTTCTCCAATCACTTTATTATTCCACTTTAATTTCAATTGTCATTGTTCTTTTCTTTGATGCATCATCTGCGCTTGCATCAGATTTATGCTTTGGAGGCACAGCCACAAGAGTAAATGCTAAAGAAAATATGTAAAACCAAAGTTAGGAAGGCAATGCTAACTGCACCTGACCCAAAACACACTGCCTTGGTACACTCCAGCCCTCGAATGACCAGCCGTGGAAAGTTTTCATGTTCCCACTTTGGTTACTCGGCTGTCTCAGTTACCACGGCTTCACTTAACTGAGGCTGACTGTTGGCCTTGCACATTAGGAGCGCACGATCCCTGCGAAATTAGAAAGCCTGCTAGTAGCTCTACAGAAAAACAGCGAATATCTTTAGGGAACCACACACTCTATAGGGGGATGCCACGCTCTTTGTCTTGGTACTACCCATCTTCACTCACGTGTTTCTAAGTGGGCGCGAAAGCTCTCGAGATATTCGCGTTTTCTCTTTTTAAAGGCTTTATTTCAGTTGGTTATTGTACATATCGTCCGTCTTGATTCTGACTTCACGATGCGAACAATATCATACTGCAGAAAGAAGGTTATCCTGGAGAAGAGGCCTTGCAACAGTCAGTGCCACGGTCCTATTATTCTCTGCGCAAACTACAAGGCGGAGAGAATGATGTCATTGTTAACTCTCAGAGCAGTGACGTCATCACTCGCTCTGAGTCACGCCTATCAGATTCCAGAGTATCGTTTTCTCTTTGGTTGGCAGGAGAAACTGGGAAAAGCCTATTGCTATTGGCTGAGATTTTGCATAATCCCGGCCTTTCCTCTCTTTCGCCGGTCATTCTATGATCGAGTGATTGATTCAGAGTCAGATATATTTGTCCCACCCCTTGCTTTTCTTTCTCGCGTACTGATTAGCCAAATTCTCTGCCGCTCACGCCGGGTTCTAATTGATGCTCCGATCCGCTGGGGACGCGATTGGGTTTCGGCTTTCTACTAGCACTGCGTGGGCCGCAATTTGCGTTCGCGTTCCTCAAGCCACGCCCCCTCCCCTCCGCTCATCCCATGATTCGTTAATGGCGTCTGTCAATTTTCTTTCTTCCCCCACCCTCTGCCACTTCAGGTAGGAAGTGTGGCTGGCGAAGTCCGTGGGATTCTGTGCTATGACGGGGAAGCGGGTAGTTCCCGAGCCGACGGTGAGAAAGAAGCTGGCGGTACTGTGAGGGAGAGGGTGATCGGGGTGCCCCCACTGCTGCTTCTTCCCACGGAGGGACGGGGTAGGCTGGAACGTGCGTGCGGGGCTTTTTCTTTCCTTTTCCTTTCCAGATGGGGATGGCCTCAGGTGGGCTGGGTCGGGCTGGAGTTCCCCCGGCCAGGCAGGATGAGAACAAAGGTCCGCCCAGTCCAGCAATCTGTATCTTTGACTGAAAGCATTTTTGTCCCGTTTCTCATCCAGAAAGGGTTCAGGAGTCTTTTCCCTGCAGTCAGTAAAGGCAAGAGGGCCCGTGGCTTACAAACCAAAAGGACATGACACAAAAGGAACGTGAGATGAGGATGGAAGAGGAAAAAAGGAGCCAATGATCTTTTCTTATGGCAGGTGGAGCAGCCCGGCTTTCCACTTAGTCTCTGTCTGCTGCAGCCCGCTGGAATGGCTGCTGTTGGTGACAGTTGAGGGAGGAGCCCAGTGAGATGTTATTTCATCAGGGCTGGTGGAATAGCCTGGTTCCTATCTAATTTTCCTGTTTTCAACAGCAGTTGATCAGATGCTCCTAGGAAGCTCACAAGATATGCAAATATTACCTTCCACCTGTTTGTTTCCAACATTGATATTTTAGAGATCTGTACAATGCTTAGATGCCATGGTTAATAACTGTGTTTAGCTGACATGGTTAATAGCTGTTGATAAACCTAGCCGCAAAGGGTTTCCAACCTCTTTTTATAAGCTGCCTAAACCAGTGGGTGCATTGTCAGGTTCATTGAATTTCCTTTGGCAAGCTCAAGGAGGTGTCTAACAAAATCTACCATTGCACCACAGAGTTGCAGCAGTTTACTAAAGTTGTAGTAAATACAGTTATAGTCCTATCAAAGATAATTATTCTTGATAGGGAAAGCTGGATCTAGCTACTGCCAATTAAAGTAAGAACAACCATGATGGAACTATGCAGTAATTGTACAGTGTGTGAAGAAATACTTCCTTTGTCAATTCTAAAATGTTCTGTTACTTGACATTCTCCAAATCCTAATGTTACAAGAGAAGGAGATGCTGAATGGAATGAAAGTCAGGCTTTGCAAGAAGGGGAAGGGAGAGCTGAATTAGCTGCAGGGCTTCCCATTCTGTCCAAGAACTGGCACGCTGGATCTGGAGCTTTGTGAGCTGCTGCGCAAATTATTGAGCTGGGTAGCATAGGCTCTCTGTGTGGAGATGTAGCCACTATGATTTGTGATTTGTCTAATATACGGAGTATATTTGTGGGTGCAGTACATGTACACAGATAAAGCGACATTATAACATGGGTTACACTGGGGTGGTTTATTTTAGTTTATGTTTGTGAGAAAGTTAGATGTAAGTGTTTGCTTTTGAAATGTTACTGCAAAGTAGCAGAGCGTGGGTGTATACTAATATGGAACATGAATGGACTTTTAAGGCAAGGTGGAGCTCTTTCTGTAAACAAACTACTCCCCTCTATTTCTTGTGCATTCTAAGTTGGAGTTGGAGGCATCTGTCACAGGCCATACAAAAAAATAGCTACAGCGCTCCATTTTATGAGTTGTTTGGACATTTGAAGTGGATTTGGAGTGTCCATGACTTGTCAGTGACTTACATCTCTTGCACTGAGACTCAAATGGCACCTGGTACCATAAGAGGGTCACTGAATCATAGGATATTAGCATTGGAAGAGGCCAAAAAGGCCATTGGGTCCAACCTCCTGTTCAATGCAGGACTTCAAGTAAAAGCAAATGAACTCTGCCTTCGTCACCATAAACTGTGTCAACTTACTAAAACAGTGGTTAGAGTTGCTGTTCAGCAGCTTGGTTCTGCTTGATGCTATGGAGAGAATTGCTCATGTGCACTCAACCTTTCAGGATTGTCTAATATAATTTAGTATGTGTCCAGTGCTATTCTCTTACCAGACTGGGTGGCAGTAATGCTCTGTTCTAGTCTACAATGGTCCATATGTTGCCGATCATTTGTTTCATGAGCCAGTGCAACAATTTACTCTGCAACATTGTTCATCTAGCCTTGCAAATTACTTTTTAAAAACTTGCTTTGCCCATCGCCTGAGGAAGAAGCTGGCAGTATATGCAACAGAGATTAGCAGTGCTGTTTTTGCCTGGGGAGTCACCTTCTAGCAATCTCATAGTTGTCTGGAATAAGACAACAAGAGCCATTGAAATACCATTTTGGGTAGGTGTTCTGGTCATTAAGGTATAAAGATTGCAAGACCAACAGGCATGTCCAAGTTTCTACAGCCATCTGTGTCAGAACTGCTGTGCCTGAAGGAAACGTGCATTTACAAGATCAATTGTGAATATAGTTGTTACAAGGTCTAGTCTCATAGCTGCTAGAATTGCTTCTGAGCTGAGGAATTTCAGGATTGCTGCAGGATTTCGGAGTGTCATTCCTCAGAGATGGCATATGCAGTTCTGAAATGCAGCCTGCTTATAAAGCATCTGGGCCAGCTGCATTGTTGATATCAGTTTAAGCTGGAAAATGGACTTTTGCAAATCTGAAGGCTTCTAAGTTGCCTTTGTAAATGTTTGTAGAATATGAACATTTTTCACCAGTTGTTCATGCAAAACATGTTTGGCAAGTGGTACCCCAGTGGGAGAAAGCCAACCACACACATCTCAGTGTGTAAGCTCTTTCTGCCTGGCCACCTGGTACCATTTTTTACTTGCACCAGGCAAATGGTTATGTACAAACCAGCCATACATGATACAAGGTAAAGTTAGCATTCAGAGAAGGCCCTCAGCTTTGGACTGAGCTTGAGTTTCTCCTCACTTTGCAACTGGAATTACAGATGTGCACCTGTCCATATTTCTTTGTCCGCAGCCAGCAAATTCCAGGTGGGCACCCTGCTCTCAATTTTTAAGGTCATAGTCCTTTGGTTTGCAACCCTATTAGATGGATGTCCCTCAATTTAGAGGCTTCCAGGTATCTTGTACCCTTCCATGGCAGTGTGGGAGGAATAGCTGAAATGATTTTCCCTGCTCTGCCTTCCTGGTTTTGTTGTTTTTTGGACACTTGAGGCAGAAAATCCCACAAACCACCTCTTCCCCCTTTGTAGCAGTAAAGCTATGACAAGAACTTAATAGCATTGACAATAATGTTCTTATTTGCTGGCTGGGAGTCTTAGGACTTTATTCTGTTTCAACATGCATTGGATTGTGTCCTAAGTAACTAACAACGTGTTGCCATTTCATGACCCTGAAAATCAGGCGCCTGAGGTAGTCATCGCACTGTGCTTCATGGTAGGGCCAGCTCTGTAGTGAAGAAGAAAAGGCCAAATTGACCATAGTTCTCTGCAATGTTTTCTCTAAATTAACCTACTATAATAGCTGTCACTTTTTCCAGACATGAGCCATCCTTTTCCTGGAAGACAGGCCCCTCTTAGCTTTTTCTCTCTTTTCTTTCCTGTGATATCAGTCTGACTTTCCTCTTCACATTGGAATGAGACCAGAACCAGAAAAGGACAGAGCTCCTTTACCTTTTAAGAACTGATGTGTGTGTGTGTGTGTTGGGGAGTGGGTTGATCTCAGGGCATGTCAAGCTGTACATGCCAAAACTCCCTATTCTACACTGCTGTTAAAGTCTTCTTTGGTTGTATCTTGCTACCTACACACTCCACCTCCCCCCCCCCTTTCTTTTCTTTCCGCCTCCTATTTAAACAAAACTTGATCAACAAGTGCAGGTCAGAAGAGGAAATGGTGCAGTAGTATTGCTGTGGTTCTCTGTCTCCCTGGCCCACTTAAGTAAGGGTACCACCAATTTGGGGTTCTATTATATCACTTAAAGACTGATGTTGCAGGCAACCCAAATCTGGTGCAGTCCAAATGTGCCAGCTGCCATCAGCCCCAACTAGGGCATCCATTTGGAGCTCAATGCATTTGGAAAACACTAGGCTGGGGGAAGGCTAAGCAACGTAATTCTCTTGCTCGCTCTCTCTAATTCTTCTCTTGGGAAGTTTGCTCTTAAGAGTTAAGCTCTAGTAATTCTCTCTGTGTGTGGTGATTAGTAACCAGGGCATTTCCTGCTGTCTCTTCTGAGGCATCCCTGCCTGGGCATGTGACTAAGATTACAGCTGGAAGGGCGGGTGGGCAAGTCTGCCAGACTGGCTCTTGTGTTCTGGAAAGGCTTTCCCTTGTAGAACTCGGAGTTGTTTCTTCCTGATTTGCATTCATGCCTCCTAAAATGAAGGATTAGGTTGTGCTTGCTGCTTTCCCCTTTGGGGCGGAAGGTGGGGTCAGGGTTGCTGTGCTGTCTTACAGTCACTGTTCCTAATTAAGAACGGGGCTTGCTTTGGTGAATAGGTGGCATAGCACCTGCGTTTTTTGTTTTACTGGGGAAGTTTTCTCATGGCATACCTCTTGTATTTGCAGGTGCTGTTCGAGATGTAAAGATGGAGACTGAAGACCCTGGTTTGCCCTCTAAGGGTGGGATAGATCTCCCTGAGAAGGAGGCTGGCTTGAGCTCTATGGAGACAGGTGAGTGGCTTGAAATAAATGTGTCTGTCATTGCACTTTGCTTTTTCTGCCTATGGCATTCCAATTGGCTGCCAAAACTGGGTCTCTTTCTTTCTGTGACTGATGTAGATCAAGCTGGCAAAGCCTGCAATCAGATTGCAGCTTGTTTTTAACAGCACCACCAACAGATGTTGTGCTGTACAGGATGATGTACACATAGATAGATCCCAGCACCTAGGAGCTAACAATTTAAACTTCAGCACAGCATAGGGAAGGAAAGATAAGAATGGGTTTGCATGAATCAGTGCAGTAGCATGTCGTTGGTTTAGTTTCAGTGGGTAGGAACCTGTTGGCTGAAGGTAGGTTTTGAAGAGGAATTTGGAGAATGAGTAAGGAGGCATTTTGGCCTTGCCCTCGGAGCCAGTGTAAGAGGGGGAAAGGGAGACTGTGCCATCTAATCTAAGTCAGCAGGAGATTTGCAGATGGTTGAGTGATGCCAGCATGACACAAAGACACTTGCTGCAGAAGATTAAAATTAAAAGTCAATTAAAAAGCTTTGCAAGTTTTTACAGTCTTTTCAGTGGGTAAAGGCCATGGAAATAGGGAGGGAAAGATTAGCTGGGACTCCTGAATTGCTTTCTTCACCCAGAGGCTTCTTAATGTGTTTTTCCAGGTGGGGATGAGCCTGCTTCTGTCCTGAATGAGCAGGAGGAGATGCCTGCTGCCCCAAACAATGGGCCCTTGAGCGTGGTAGATGGCAAACTAGATGTTCATGAGGAGTTGAGCAATGCTCTGGAGGAATCAAGTGACAAGGACCTGTCTGACTCAGCCTCCACTGACAACACCTTGGAGGACTCCAGCGAGTTTAGCCGGCCTCTGGTGATGGGCAATGGGCCACCAGGGGAGGAGGTGGCGGCTGTCATACGACTGCGGCCAGTTACACATCGGGATGAGGATGTGACAGCTGAGAGTTGGCGGGCACACAGGAAACATGTCTTTGTCTTAAGCGAAGCTGGGAAACCCATTTACTCGCGCTATGGCAATGAGGAAGCTCTGAGTTCCACCATGGGAGTCATGATGGCGCTGGTGTCGTTCATCCAGAGTGGGGATAATTCCATCCGCTCCATTTATTCTGGTATGAGAAATGTTGGGATGATTTTGAATTAAAAATTACTTTATTTTTAATAAGTGATGGGCTTTGGCTAAAATTGGAGAGATTTAAGAGAGGTGGAACTGGTAGATTTTATGAAGAGTCTTCCACCTCCTCGCTCTCCCCCGCAATTCAAGCAATGGTATGGGGGTCAGACTGGCAACACCCTGCTTCAGGCAAAATTTCTGTTGTTCTTGCTGATTGATCATTTAATTATTCAGGTTTCCTTTTTACTGGACTAGCCCTCAGATCCCTGTGTGATACCTCCCAATCTTGGCTTGGACTTTCACTGCTGTTTAGCAGTGTTGACTATGTAAATGTGCTCCAATTCTTGGGCCCCAGAAGAATACTGTGGTGTTTTTATTGTAACAATTCATTTTCATGTGATGATGGAAGCTAGGATATATGATTTCTTGCAAGCATAGCAAATCCCAAAGGTGGCTGCAAAATCTAACTTCCTAAAAATATTGGCTGAAAGAACATGTTTCAAGTCCTCAAGTTTGTGGAGAGATGTTTAGAAACATGTGGTTATTGTCTCATGTTTTGCAAGGCTAGTTCACTGGTTGGAGAACAGGACCTCACTGCTCTGCCCAGCTTTTTGCCTTTCCCCATGTCTTGCTGTAAGCAAATAATTGCAAATAGTAAAAATTGCAGAGCAAATTCTGGAAAGGAAGGGAAACCATACAAATTTATTTAATTTCAATAGCTAATGCGGGAGCAGGATTTCTTTCTTTTTGGAGACAAATGTTCTTATAATTCGCACTAGCTTTTAAACAGGGCAGAGCACGCACAATTCTGGTATCCTATATCTGACTTTTTCTCCTTTTTCTGTCCACCAACACAAAATGACTACAAAGTGTCCTGTGTGTGATGTTGCAAGTTAATCTCAATTTTTACTTGGGGGAAAAAGCTTAAAAGGATTACCATTTGAAGAACAGGCCGCTTTGATAGCATACAAAAGGAAGTGCTTGTTCTTTGATTCCAGTCCTAAGTTTTACAGACAGAGCTCTTGCTTTTCTTTCAGGAGAATACAAACTTTAGTATGTATTAATTATACTGGACAAGGGAAAAAGCAACTATATGAACAACTGCTTCCCTCTTCTCCTGAGGGGAAGGTCCAAAACCCACAAGAAAAAGCATGTCTAGAGTAGGCAATAATTTGGGGATTTCAGTACACTGTTTCCACACTTCCAGTTCTTGTCAAAACATGCAACAAAGTACCCGGTTGATACTGGTGCAGATTTTTTCTGAAATGTGCAGCTTTTCTGCTAAGGTTGGGGTGTTAATGGTAAAGATAGGGACCATGTGACCTCCAAATATTGTTGGACTCTGGTTTACATCAGCCTTCCCCTTTGGCTACCACTGACCTGGGCTGATGGGAGCTACATTCCATCAACGTCTAGGGAACCACATATTCCCCACCCTGTGTTAGGGCCAAAAATGTACTTTGCCCTTCTCTGAGTCACTGTCTGTGCCTCCCAATTACATATGACATTGTCCAGCTAGGAGTGCTGTCTGGTGAAATCTTACTTGCAGGAAAAGGGATTCATCCATCTGCTTTCCAGTTTCCACTGACTCCATCTGCTTTCCAGTTTCTGTGTTGGCTGTAGTGAGTGGAGCTTCTCTTCCTTCTCAGCCTGCACCAGAAAGAAGCAAATTGCAGCTATTAGGGGGCTTTATTCTTTTGCCACCACCGGTGATAGTACAAGTTGAAGTGCCTGCAAGAAGGGTCCTCCCTACTTCCAGACCCTACACAACCCACCCAGGCTCCCCATTAAATGCTCTGGCATGATTCTTCTTCCTTTCATTGATGCCACATGCTGTTGTCACCTGATGCTCTGGTCTGGCATTGCTCAGCCGCAAGTGACTTCATTTGATAAACTGTAGATGCACCAATCTGCAGCCATGCCATTCCACTGCATTCCCTGCCTCTTCTAGGTTGGCTTACCTCAGCTGGGACTAGCTCACCAAATCATGTTAACAAAAGGTGGCTGCATTCATACTTTCCTGGACAGCATCCTGGGAAAATGATGTTTGACATCTTTGAAGAAATTGCAGGCACTTTGCTTTGCAAGTGAAGGACAATGCAGAGGGTGCCCAGGATGCAGTGGAACAGTTTGTACATGACCTTGCACTGTAGTCCTGCTCCAGGTCCTCTAGACTGGAGGACTAGTTTGCATGGGGAGGGAGCTGTTTTTGATTTCAATGGGAGGTGTATTTCTCCCAGTGCAAAACACAGTTGTGTGTCCTTGAGTCACATTGGGACAGCAGAGGGTTAAATACCCTCTGGCACCACACATCAGGGTCCCAGTCTTCTGTGTGAGTGAATGGATGGAGGCAGGTGCGTGTGAGGGAGAAGGAATGTGGGGTGGCCATGCCCTCTCCAGCCTGTGGCCATCCTGCCACTGGCAAGCAGCTCCTGTTTCTTTACCACCAAGGAAATATGGCCTCTGCGAAGGGGCAAGGTGGAAAGGTTCCTGATTGCTATGCTGAATGAATGCTCCCAGCTTATTGAGTAGAAGGAGCAAGGCAGGAGCAGATGTTTGTTTGCTTATTTATTAAAAGTTTTTCTAACCCATCCACTACAAGTGCCTCGGCACGGCTTACAAAAATGAGTAGAATAAAACAAACACCACACCATCTGACAATTGAAATACTAAAACCCCAGTTAAAATCAATTAAACATTAAAATCACGGGAAAATAAAAAGGTTCTTGTTGTTATCTAGAGGCTTTCAAGTGCATCTTTGCAACTGGAAGAGCAAAAAATTATTGAATAAAAAAGTTCTGATCTGCAGGAAGTTAGTTCTTTGTCTAATACTGCATTTATTTGGTGGGTTTCCTGACTTCCCATGGCATTGCACCATATATCCACTCCTGTCTTTTCCCAAGGGTTGGGTGGGCTTGGGTGGTTAAGAAACAAGGCCTTGCTTTCCATCTGTTTTTGCCATATTTGTGCTGAGCATAACCTGCTACACCTCCTAATGGTTCATCTTCTCACTGCTTTCCCTGCAGATGATCACAAACTGGTTTTTGTGCAGCAGGGCCCCCTGGTGCTGGTGTCGGTGTCTCACACCCTTCAGTCTGAACAGCAGCTACGCCAGGAACTTTTGTATGTCTACTACCAGATCATCAGCATGCTCACCCAGGCCAGCATCACCCGCATCTTTGAGCGAAAGAAGAACTATGACCTCCGGCGCCTGCTTATTGGCTCGGAGAAGATCCTTGACCGCCTGTTGAGCCTGGTGGAGTTGGACCCTTGCTTTCTGCTTGGAGCTGTGCGCTGCCTGCCCCTCCCAGCTTCCCTGCGTGACTCCCTGGGCACTTTGCTCCAGAAGGCCATCACACCCAATCTGGTCTTCTCCATTCTGGTGGCCCAGAGTCATCTAGTCACCATGGTGCAGGAGAAAACAGTTATTGAAGATTGCCGACTAGAGCCCACTGACTTGCACCTGTTGCTCAACCTCATTGGGGCAACCTCTGCCTTCCAGACTGGGGAGATTTGGACACCTATTTGCTTGCCACGCTTCAACCCTGATTGTTACTTTTATGCTTATATTTCCTACTTGGATGCTGAATGTACTGTCTGCCTCATCCTTCTCTCCACGGACAAGGAATCTTTCTATTCTGTCTCAGACTGCAAGAAACGCATTGAGGAGGGCATGAGGACTCAGAACTACCTGCAGGCCCTCTCAAGCGGCCTGAAGAGTCCCTCCTATAGTGTGGGACTGGTGGGGGTGCCAGACCTTCGGCACTTTATGTACAAGCCCCTTGATATACCTGATAATTACCGACAGCTTCCTCAGTTCACCAGGTAATTAGCAACTTTCTTGAGTTTGAGTTTGCTTTGAACAAGAAGGGAGATTTCTTTGGAGCATGGAAGGATGGAAGTCCAATAGGGGATGGCTTGGATAAAGTATAAGCAATCTTCTTGAGCATGTTTGGCAATCTGAGAAACTGTCTTGGGCACCAGCACAAAATGAGTACCCTCTATCAGTCTGTAGCCACCTACCATATTTATTGTCTAATAATGGCTCCAAGCCCCCTTATAGCTCAGAGGTATGGTGGAAAAGAGGATGGGAGAAACCCTCACTTTGCTTTGAAACAGTCCTGATGGCCAGTAAGATTTTTTAAAAAAGAAAAATTAGAAGGGATAGGGCACTTTGTTGGGCTCCAAGAAAAAAGCCCATGGCTGTTACATTGTCTATTTGTACTATGGAAAATCATGTGTCCTACTGTAGCATTGTCTTCCGATGTTGGAACTAATTCATGTTAGCTAGAAGATATACCTGGGTGTTTTTCTATCTCCTTCAATGGAATGTTTGATGGAATCTGCTTTGGAAGAGTCTTGAGATTCTTAAGCTATAATTTGGAGTGAAGGAAATCTTTTTTCTTTTAGTTTTTAAAATATGTAGGTGATATTCTAACATTGGGGGACCAAGCTATTGTGTTCTGCCACATTACCTGTCTTTTTAACTTTCTGTCAGTTGCCTCTACTGATCTTGTTTTATTTACCCTTGTTTTGCTCGGAAAACATTTATTATTATTCACATAATTTTGAACTCAGAATAGGCTGTGTAGATTGAACAGTCATATAAATGATTTGATGATTAATGGTTCCTATAATTTTGTTTTGGATGTAGGATTTGGGATTTCTTGTAACTGAACCAGCTTCTTAAAAGGAATTATCCTGGTTACAGTGTTGTGGGGTTATGGGTTGATGGGTAATGTTTGTTGAATTGAACTAATCTGACACTGCATGTACATAAAGCAGCATAGTTTGCCTTGTTCGCCTCTCTCCAAAATTCACTTTTTGTTTGTGTGCCTTCCAATGTCAGTCTAATGTAAGTCCTATTCATTTCATTGGGTCTTGTCCAGCAGCCTAACATATACAAACCATAATGGAATTTTTTGGGGGTGTATCCCTTAATGTCTTATTCAAACTTTCAAAGACACATATGCCAATATACCATCCTGTATTCTTGGTGGCAGATCTGGATTTTCCGCAATGTAATGTATGGCATTTTTGTGAAAAAGCCAAACAGTGGAGATGATTGTTTATGCAAGTGTTAACTTACATCCTAACCCTATTATCTTTATAGGATTGGGTGTCCTGTTATGCTTGGATTCTTTTTCCTTTCGAATTGCTAAGGTGAGAGAGCTAGATATGGCATTTGGGACAGGCAAATGCCTACACAGATGGCACCACTTCTCCATTCCCCCTCTACATGACTCCCAGCCAGAGGCTGTGGGAAGAGCTAAGTTGGCTGTACTCAATTACAGCTTTAAATAGAGCAAGTCATGTGTGCAGTGGCTTTTTTCCCTTCTTACCAAGAAGGATCTGTGTGTGTTTCTGTGTGTGGGGATTTGTAAGGAGAGATTCTAGGAGATTCTAGGATGCTAGGCTATGGAGAGAAAGCAAGGTGGGCATCATGAGAACTTATCAAGCTGGTGAAATCTTGTAAAAGCACAAAGGAATTTGGAAGTAATAGTCAAACAGTTACACTGATTGGCATTCGTGTCTCCTGGTGCTCCAAAGGGACAGTGATGGATTAGGAGCATGCACATTTTCTGGGGAGGGGAGGAAGTGGCATTAGAATCAGTCATATCTTCATTTCAAGGGTGTAAAACGTGGAATGGTCATGTGATCTTGTTTTGTCACACATCTATTTTTGCAGCTTGCTTGTCAAAGTTGTGTCAAGGGCTGAAAGAGATACTCATCTGACTGTTGTAATATGTTGTATGCTGGAGGGTGGAATCTGTCTATGTGTTGGTCTTCAGTCTATGTGCATTCATTTATACTTAAATTTTTCTTTACCGTCATTCATTAAAAATCTCATGGCAGTTTACATTTAGAGATGAAGGGCTCCTATCACTGTCAATCAAAGGGCGATTCTACCTTTTTTTCCTTAATGGATCTTCTACGATAATAATAAAAATAGAAAAAGCTGCGAGAAAATATGGAAAAGTTATGCATGGAAGAATGCAGTCATCTGGACCCTCCATTCATTGAATGAGTCAGTCAATATATGATAAAAGCCCCATGTGGAAGCACCTTGTGTTGTTTATAGACAACCTGTCATGGTTCCTGCTTTGCAAAGAATCAGATTTGCGAAGCCATGGCTATTACTTAAAAAGTTACCTTTTGCTTTGACAAAGGTTGATTTATACGCATGGTGTCTAGTACAAGAGTCTAACTTATTATGGTTTGGGAGCTGCTGTATTCTAGAATTCTAATACTTTTCCTGCAGCTACCATTTGCCCAGTGGTCATGTTAGGAAGCCCTGAGCCTGAATGTTTTCAGATTGTAAAATGGGATTCATGCCTTCCATTTTCAATCCATGCTGGGGAATTACTAGAGAAAAGTGGTTGATATGAAGAGATGTTGCTAACTTTCTGCTATTTTTTCCTAGTTCTGTAGCTTGTCCACAGTAAGAGGTTGTATGGGTGAACCTTAACATCTCTGATTCCCTAATATGTCATGCTTCATCTCCTACAGCCCAGAACTGGAGGGACCTTACTGCAGTGAAAACGAACGCCATCGACTTTTTGACCTCTATCACTACCTTCACAGTCGTATACATAGTACCTCACGCCCTCTGCGTCTCATCTACCATGTAGCTGAAAAGGAGACTCTATTGGCTTGGGTGAGAAATGGCACCGCAGCTGCTTCAAACTTATCACTTTGTATGGTTCAAAACAGAAGTACATGTTATAAGGAGAATATGGGATTCCCAAACCCATCATTCCCCTAGTAAATGTATGGCAAAGTACAGCTGGGGAGAATTGGCCAGTGGGAAGGAGTGCTCAACTTTGTGTTTAATCACCAATTCTTCCTTCTAAACCACTGCCTCAAACTTTTGAGTAGCTTGTTGGGCTGTTGTCAATCTGTTTGGAGCAGCACCTCTCATAGAAAGCTTAGGAACCACAGGTCTGCTTCCTGCTATCTAATGTATGAAGAGTCCACATCCTGGGTATAGTGGCTAAATAAGAGTGAGGTACGCGTGGGACATGGGATACCTGGGATAATTTTCCTGCTCACAAAAGCTGGTGAAATCTGATAATTTAGGCAATTATGACACAAGGTTATAGAGTAGTAAGATCTACTCTTACCTAGTTGAAGCCTTTGGTTTTTCACTCACTCCCCAACTAATATTTCATTGTTTCTGTTATCTGATGGCAGCCATGTGGCCTGCAGAAAGCCATCAGCCTAGTTACTGAATGGGGGTCTCTCTCTCTCTCTCTGTTTCTCCTATAGGTCACCAGTAAGTTTGAATTATATACTTGCTTTAGTCCTTTGGTAACCAAAGCTGGTGCCATCAACGTTCTGACTAAGCTGTTGCGCTGGATAAAAAAGGAAGAGGATCGGCTCTTCATTCGCTATCCACCCAAATACTCTACCACACCCAATCCAGGGAAAGGCAGCAAAGGTCCTCGAACTGATAATGCTGAGAATGGCTTTTTTGGAGGTCTCTAGGACAGCAATCCTAAACTTCATCCATTGTGTACCTTCTTACGGACAAATCTTGATGGAAGTACTTCTCTGTGAGCGAGAAGACCTTCTGTTTTTTCTTCTACAAGCTGAACAGGGTCTGTGTGGGTGTGAGAATCATAATTTATCAATCCAAGCTGTCACTTTGTTGGTGATAAATTCATAATGTTTTGATTTAGGTTTTTTTCCCCAATTTTAGTTTACCTGTGCTCTTGGTACTATGCCTGCAAGGAGGCATTGGACCATGACAGCTAGACTGGAGTTGGGTAAGGAAACTGTAGCTCTGGAAGCTGTGACATTACCTATGGAAGGGGCATACAGTTGGAAGATAAGGGATTTCATATGGATTCTGCTCAGGCATAAAGTTTACACTGATACATTATGGGCCTAGCAGATTAGGATTCTCTGTTTCTGAGTGCTCGCACCACTGATACCAGTAGGGAATTGCCTTGCTTTTCACATTCTGTTTCTTCTTCTTTATCAGCAGTTCTGATAGCATGCTGAATGCCACTTCTGCCCCTCAGATAAAAATTGGGAGGTAAGGGATCTGGCTTGCTCTTTTTTCTATAATACTGTGGTCAAAATGGCAAAATAAGAGCCCCGGTTGTTGTTAAATGCAAACCAGGTAAGCTTGGTTGGTTGGTTGATAAGCTACCCAGAACTCACGGGGTTTTAGGGTTGAAGATGGCTTGTCAGCAGCTCCAATGAAACATCCTTCCTGGGTTCGTACTTAAGGAAAAGCTGCAGTGTACCCGTTGCACCCCAGTTAAAGAACATTGAGTCACTGATTGAAGAACATGCATCTGTGAATGCATACATAGTTTACTGAATTCCTAGAACAAGAAACAGGCAACTGTCACCACTTCTTTTATTTCACTTGCCCTTTGATAAACTCCTCAATTGTCCATAATTACTCTTTCAAAATAGCTGCCCAGGGCCAGTCCAGTAGGTACAGTGCTTTCAGGCAATATGGGACATAGAAAGATGAATGTTTACTACAGAGCTAGCTGATTTAGATCATTGTAGTGTCATCTTGGGATAACTGCAGGTGAACAGGCTCAGTTCCAAAGAATCCTTCGTTCTGGAACTATCAGTATTTTTTGAATAAGGCTCTTGTCCTGCCTATTCTTTGAACTATAATTTCCTTCTGAATTAGGGAAGCTGATTCAGCCTTTTATTTTGGCACCATGAGAAGGTCTATATGTGTGTGATGGGGATTTTGCAATCCTAGTATTTCAAGTAATGTTAATGGCTCAGTTTGTATTATGTAATTTAATTATGATGAAAGTTGGACTTCCTTTTTAATGCCTTATGTTGGAACCTTACTGGTTTTGAAGCTGTTTCACGATCCTCTGTAACTTCCCTCCCATTTTCTCCTCACACCTTGCCCTTTTTTTCCTGCTTTAAAATTATTGTCTTTGTCTGCTTGAATGACACATGGCCCTTGTTAGGGTTCTGTTGCCTTGCTTTGTTGCGGTGCTCCAATTTTCTGTCCCTGCTTCCTATAGCTATGTTTGTTTTTTGTAGATTTGAAGCCAGGGAAGAACAAACAGACCTGTGGCAAACTTTCTGTTTGGGAATGGTACTGACAAAAAACTTTTCTCATTCCAGTCAACTTTGGATATTGTCTGATGTACCATTAGTTCAGACAGCAGTTCTCAGAAAGAGACTTGAAAACCTCATTTACAAGCAATTAACAGTTGCATCCTTCCTTCCTGAGCAGATGCTGCTCTGCTGTGAAAATAGGTGCCCTCTGTAAATTTGCTGCTGCTCCACTGGGTCAGTTTTTTGTCCCTTTTATTTGTATGCTAAAAATAAGTCTTATTTTTGTCTGGAGGGGGGAGTATTAGGGAACTTCTGTTCTTGTGGGCAAACCCTGAGATTTCCTATGGTGTGGGGAGTAGTGTGTGGGGGGGGGGGGTAGAGGTGGGGAGCTTTGATTTATCCTGGAATACATATGTGAGTCTATAGAATACTGTTGCCAGTTTTGATGTGGGGCTGAGCACTGAACTGAATTCTATCCTCATTGCCACTGCTGAAGTGATTAAAGGAAATAAGTTATTTTGCAGGGTGTATCTGTTACTTTTGGATCCCTTCTGATGCCTGCTTGCTCAGCTTGCTTCTGGCTGGCATTTTATTCTGCCCTGGTGAAAGAATAGCAGTGATTCCATGCACCATGTGGCTAATTGACTGACAATATGAGATTATATTTCTGGCTGAACTGATGTACTGGGAACTGGAAGCATCTTATTAAACACAGAAAACCCATTTTAAATCAGCTTCATTCTGGCATGTGTGTGTTTCTTTCCCCATCTGTTGGTGTGTTTAGGCCTCTTCTGTTGTCTTGTCAGGATCAATTACAGCCATTGCACTATGGCGGCCACACAAATAAGTAGTGGTGTTGCCTGATTGCCTTAATATTAATTAATTAATTGTGTGAGTTTTAGTAAATCCATTAATTGATTTAAATCTGTACATGTTTTCATTAGGACAAAAATAATACTTCTGAAACATATGCTGCACTAAGTAACATTCTAAAAGGGGTATTCCTTTACCTGCATATGGAAGAATGTCTTTTCTGCATGGTATTCACAGTTTATAAGTATATCGTATTAAAAAGTCCTATTAATTTGGAACCTTGCTGCTGGGAACGATTGATGGCAAAGGGAGAAGGGGATGGCAGAAGATGAGGTGGCTAGATGGAGTCACTGGGACAGTGGGTGTGGGCTTGGGTGGGCTCTGAGGGATGGTGGAGGACAGGAGAGCCATGGGGTCCTGATGGGTTGGGCATGACTTTGCACCTAAACAACAACAAACACATTTATTTTGCATATCTATTTAATCCATGCAAATATTATTAAATCCTCTGATTTAGCTATTCACTGGAATAAACACTGGGAATTTATAAATCCCTAAATGTTACTTTGGCCATCTAATGAGAAGGAAGGACTCCCTGGAGAAGAGCCTAATGCTGAGAACAATAGATGACAAAAGAATAAGCGGATGGCAGAGGATGAGGTGGCTAGATGGAGTCACTGAAGCTGTTGGTGTGAGCTTGGGTGGACTCTGGAGACAGGAAGGCCTGGAGGAATGTTGTCCATGGGGTCGCGATGGGTCTGACACGACTTCACGACTAACAACAACAAAATGTTACTTGCTTACAACATTTTTCTATTATGCCTATCCATTCAAACCTAGCTAGTGATTTGCTGCTTAAAAAGCCAGTCTTTCAAAATTTTCCCTGGCTGATTACTTGTAAGAAGGTTTATAAGCCACAGAAAACAGCACGAGGAGCTTTTCCAATTGTCACCAATTTCAGTTCAATATTCTCCCAAGGCTTCAGCTGGCTGAAGTTGTTTCAAACATATTACATGATATATCTACAAACATATATTTGCTCAATCCACATTGTATTGCTTTAAAGGACAAATGGACAGTTTGGGACCTTCCAGATGGTTTGGCTGACAACTTTCATCACTCCCAGCCATCATAGTCACTAGGGCAGGAATATAAATATTTTAAATAAATAAAAATAGTGAGAAATGATGAGTTGTAGGTCAAAATATTGGGAGGGCCACAAGTTACCCATTTCTGTTTAAAAGAAATAAACATACAATAACATATTTTTTAAAAAGGAACTTAAAAGCCATGAGACAACCATGAACCTGACCACTATGGTTGCTAATGTTAGAGCTGATTTTTTTGTTATCTTAGTTTTCCCCATGGTTGCCTTTGTCCATTCTGCCTGACAGCAAAAGACTATTGTGAACTAGGCCAATTCACCTAGGTATTGACCAGGATTGTATCTGAGTGGGGGTTTATAATGGATGTCTCTCTGAAATTTGACTTACTTTATTTACATTTAAACCACTATTTTGAGATTTTAAAGAAAGAGAAACTAACACCAAACCCTGCTTTGTAGAAGAAAACTGCCAAAGAGATGTGAGTCACACAGCTGTTCTATAAATATTCACTTCACTTAAAATTGGACAGTAATTTAAGGGTGGACAATCAAATGCAGAAACAATACAGTGACTTGACACTGGGCAATGCTGAACTGTAGTACAGACTTCCAAGGCCTCTTCAGGGTCTGGAAATGTCAAGGATTTTGCCTTGGGAAACGTACAATCTGAATGGAACAGTAATGTTACTATGTCTGAAGCTTTCAGCTTTCAAACTGTAGTGTTTGCAGAAGAGATTTTTAGCTGTATGTTTTCTAATGAAGACAAAATACTATTTGCTCACTCCTTTCCTTCTTTGTATTTTCCAAGAGACTTTTGTTTGTTCAATGTCAGTTGGCCTATCCAAAGACTGAACTGTGCTGATTGTGAAACTCTTTGAAAAATGCTTTGAGGGACTTTGAGGAACCTTATGATGCTTGTTGATCTTCCATTTAAGAATACCCCAAACTTGGATTATGTATCTTGATATGTGCACTCCAGCCTGTGGTGGTGCATGCAGCTCAGATCATGTCTTTCCGCATATCTGCTTTGTTAAAGTGGGTTTGGAGAGACCTTTGTTCATGGAACCTCTTTTAATTCTCCTGGATTTTACTATGTACTTCAAATCCTAGCCATGAATATTTATTTATTTAATTATTTAACATATTTATATGCCGTCCTATTCATAAAAAGCCTCAGAATATAGAATACAAAGGGATGGGACTGCTTTCTCTTGCTCCTGTTGTTGTTCCAGTATGAGCAACACAAAGGTGATAGGGCTGCTCTTTCATCCCTCATTTCCCTTTATCAAAGAATTTGCCACAGAAGCTCAAAAGTATAACCTGTAACAACAGCAAATATGTTTTACTATTTACAATAGGAGAAAATATTGCATAAAGTATGGCTAATGATAATAGCTCTCCTAACTGGTAGAAACTGGGCTATTTTAGTCACTCAGTTTCTCATGAAATCCTCACTGAGCCTGGATTTCCAGGTACTCACCTAATACTTCCTACGAACCTAACTTGATGAAGACATGGTCGCCTCTTCTCACATATGCATGATTTTGCAACTTCAAGGCTAGACCACATTAAACTTCTTTACATAGATTACTTTTGGTATTTTGGATGCTGTACCTGGTACATAATGCTTTCATGCGTGCCAGTTTCTGTCCTTGCTCCTTGCCAAGTTCAATTCAAGGAAATGTCAGCCACTGATGAAGCTGTAAACATCCTTGGCTTATGATCTGTTTTCATTCCTCTGTTAAACACCATAATCATGGGAAAGCATGGGAGAGCTAGTGTGGTGTAGTGGTTAAGAGCATGGGACCGGGACTCAGGCGATCTGGGTTCTAGTCCCCACTCAGCCATGGAGCCAACTGGGTGACTTTGGGCCAGTCACAGACTCTCAGCCCAACCTACCTCACAGGGTTGTTGTTGTGGGGATAAGATGGAGGAGGAGAATGATGTAAGCTGCCTTGAGCCCTTTGTAGGAAAAAGGCAGGATATAAATCGAAAAATAAATAAATAAATAAATAAATAAAATCAAGTTTCACACCATTAGACACAGAACTCTCTTTGCCAGGTGATCTGTCATAAGAGAGTAAAACATTTTTTTAATTCAATCTGGCTCTGACACATACCAAGAGACACATACCAGTAAGGTAGAATGAATGAACTGTGACCTGCTGAGAGCCTTAGGGTCAGGAAGGCTGTAAGTCAAACATTTATTTCCTTTAAGTTTCAGAGGTAGGGGAGTTAATCAATTGGAGTGTCAGGATTCCAGACCTGCTTGGAATGAATACCCACATTCAGTGGAAGTGTACCGTCGAGCACTCAACAGTTTATTTACAGCAAACATAAATTCCTAAATTAGAATAGTGCTGAAGGGTATCCGTTTAAGGCTGGATACAAAGAAACAGGACATGTACAGAGTGTTTTATGGAGCTGGTGTCATGTATGCTTTTGCAGGGAGGGGGAAAGGGACCTTGAATGGATGATATACAAGAACAATAGCAGCACAAAATTACAATCAGACACATCAGAAAATGTTTTGATGCATCAAAAGCTTGAGTAACAGATAACAAAACAATCAGAAGTTACAAAATTTAACAGGTTTCAATGTTTGCTTTTTACAGTCAGAGGCAGGAAATTCTGTTTAAGACGAGGGATCTGGCAGAAGGGCAACTGACATCTCCTGCAAGATTACATATGCAAATAGTATCGATTTGCATGTCCTGGGGCTTATCTCCTTTTTCCATAGAAGTAACATGAATGGAAAAAAACCTCTGCAGATTGTGGGTGGGGGAAGAAAAAAAGGCAAAGCTTTCTATATTCTAAAGTATAAAACTTTTATTAGGGCAACTCCAACAGGAGCTAGACCAGGGGTTGGCAACCCGCAGCTCCGTAGGTGCACGTGGCTCTTGAATCCCTCTGCTGAGGCTCCATCACTTAAAATACATGTCACAGCCGTCAATCTGTGACCGAGGCTCTGAGTTACAAAATACCAATAGGTGATGATGAGGTATCCACTCAGGAATGCCGCGCTAGCGGGTTAAGTAAATTATGACATTCCTCTGCTAGTGTGCAGGGAAAGAGTGGAACAAGCTTCCTGCAGACTCTCATGTTACACGAAACAATGCTGAAAAGATCCTCTTTGTCCAAATGTAATCTCCTTCCTCTGAATGTTAAAAGCTGCGCTTCGGACCTGTCACAATTCACATCACTTGACTGTTTATCTGCTAATCAGTCACTAAGCACACCTATACCTGCGACCCGTGCCGATTTACTGAGCTTTTTCCATTTATCCATGAGGCCAACCATGGATAAATCGAAGAAAAGTTTCTGAAGAAAACCGAACGTTTAATGGTACGTGGGTAGATTCATTTGCTTTTACTGCTGACGAACTTATGGAGTTTGCTGTTTAATGCATGCAGCCCTTTAGCACTGACTTTGACTCTGCAGGAAGCTGTTCTCCTATTCAAAATATATGAAAGGAGTCCTACTAGTGTATAATGTAAGATTAAAAATAACAGTTTTTAGTGACTGAACAAGAGCTGCAGCTAAATCATAATGAAGATATAGATCTACTTCCTTGTTTTAAGAAGATTCTTATAAAAATTCCAGCAACATTATTACATTGGGAGAGGGATGTTCGTTCAATATTTCACCAGACTATTATTTATATTTGTTGTATTGCAGAAACTCTACTTACTGTATGAAAGTATCAATTAGTCCTTTTTTTATTCAGGTTGACAACTGACTGCACCCTCCATGTACACGTGATAAAAGGATGAGGGCACACAGAAGTAGATGGCATTTTTGGTTTGCTGCAGGTGGATAATTTAAGTTCGGCTTTTTATCTCATAAATACGAGGAGGACTCAAATAGACATTGAGTATTTTATTTGAAAGTAATCTTCAACCCAGCGTCTTTTTTTTTGGAGTTCAAAATGTTTTTGTTGCATGCAGAAATAAAAATTTGTTTTCTCTGTAGCAGTTCATTGATTTCATAAATGCAACACACTATAGTTTTTTTATACATCGCATAAAGGTAAAAACCGATATATGCAGTGTTATCTTCATTTTAGATGTCAAAAGGGCTTTGCGGCTCCCGGTGTTTTCTTTTCTGTGGGAAACGGATCCAAATGGCTCTTTGAGTGTTAAAGGTTGCCAACCCCTGAGCTAGACAAACTATCCTCACTCCACAGCTGTTGGCACTAGTACTGAAAGTTTCAAACAATTACCTGTAGTAGGTGCTTCATTTTCCAGAAAAATATGATTGAACCTTACTCCTTGGCCTAAATGCTTGAAAGAACCTAACTTACTGGTGATCTTTTCACCCTCCTGCTCCTCTCCCTACATGATCCGTAGCTTGTATTCTATTAAGATAGAGGTTGCCCTGTTTCATCACTGTTGTATGACCTATCCTTGAATTCATTTTCTCCTACATTAGTTACATAGTGTCTTAGTGTTATTACAATTGACCACCTCATCAATTTTCTCAGTTTTTCACGACTTTGGTACTTCTTAGAGTGCTGCAAATTCAAAATGCATCAGCTGAATCCTGGCATTTTTCATGTTGGCAGCCTCTTGTACCTCTAAGGGAGAGCTGAGTTGTTGTAGATAATGAAACTATGCTGATGAGTGCATTTGCACTTATTCAAGTGTTGAAGACCTGTAATTAGCTTGGCTCTGAAATATTTGCATTTGTACATGCTTTTGCTAACAAAACGTGTAATAGCAAGCTGTTTCAATTTGGTTACAGTTCTGATCCTGTTCTGCACACTAGCTTCCCTGTAAGCAATTAACTGATAATATGCTACCATTTTTCTTTTCCTGACAGGGATCCTATGCTGAGGCCTTGATTAGAGATGCACCATAATGGCATCAGATCTATGAATGGCCTTGTGCATACACTTGCTGAGGTGCTGTATTTGAATAGTGTATATTTAGGCCTAGTTTTCACTGAGGCGGAAAACCTGTGGTTGAGCTCTGCCTTTTCAGGCAACAGTGAGAGTTTCTGTGTGGTTACTAAACTCTTCCGGGTGAGGCCATTGCAGCTGTGTGTTTCAGAAGAGTCCTGAGGAATTACAGTGACAGTTGGAAAAAGGCGGGAAAATGTAAAAGAGGGAGAAGGATGGAGCTACAGACTGGGGACCTTTAGAGACTGGGGAGAAATTGGTCCTAAATGAACATGGAGGGCAATAATGTCGGTGAGTGGAGGTTGGGAGGGGTGTGTGGTGGCAGTGGGGAGAGAAAGAGACTAGATGCTGAAATATACAGCAGCTTGGATCCCTGAAAATAAAATCATTCCGCATGGAGTTGACAAAAAGGTCCGTGTCCTGGTGTGTGGATGCTCCAAATACACAACAGGGGAAGGCTTTTTTTAAAGATTTATTCTCAGGAATAACTGGTTGATGGGATTGGTAGTCAAACAGGCCAGGTTGGAGAAAGCTGTGCTATGAAGACCCCAGTGGTATGAGGGGATGAAAAGGAGACAGGAGGAAAATATTTTTCCAAAAAGAAGGAACGGCCAAGTCAAAGGAGGAATTGCACTTTTAACAATGTCTAAGTGACCTAAAGTACATCAGAGTTATGTGCCTGTTGTTGTTGTTTTTTTTTACAGATCTGATCATATCTATGCGTTATGTTCTCCTAGTCCAGCTTTCTAATTTTTTAACTGTATCTACATCTCTATCCATGGAAAAAAGTTCAGGTTTGATGTGAAGTCAGAAGAATTTGATATGCCTATTCAGATTGGTCATGGTCATTTCTCTCCCCAGTTAGGGAAAAGGTAATAAATACTGCCAGATATGCAGGGTAGGGAATAATGCAGCAAGCAGTGTTCTCAACGTTTTGGTAATGTTTTTCGGTCTACATATCGACACATTTCGTTTTTTCCAAACAACTTTCATGTACTAAAATACAGAAAAATACATCAGTATTAGACTGGGAGTTGGGAGATTCTGGTTCTTGTCCCTGCTTGCTTGCTTGCTTGCTTGCTTGCTTGCTTGCTTGCTTGCTTATTTATTTATTTATTTAAAACATTTCTATGCCGCCCCTATTGCAACAAAGCCTTGGGGCGGCTCACAAAGAATACATACATAAATAATGATAATATAACAATTTTTTAAAAATCATTAAAAAACCCCCGGTGCATTCTCAGCTAAAAATTTTAAAATCCTAATTAATTCAATAATTTAACAATTAAAATAAGTTTTAAATAAAAAGGTCTTAGCCTGTTGCCAAAAAACAAATAATGACGGTGCCAGACGGACCTCTCTGGGGAGCACATTCCATAGATGGGGCGCCACCACAGAGAAAGCCCTCCTCCGAGTACCCGCCCTCCTAATATCATTCACACAGGGTTCCCGGAGAAGGGCATCTGTTGCTGATCTCAAGGGGTGGGAGGGCATATATGGGTGCAAGCGTTCCTTTAGATATCCAGGTCCCAAGCTGTTTAGGGCTTTATAGGTCATAACCAACACCTTGAATTGGGCCCAGACTTCAATCGGGAGCCAGTGGAGCTGATGGAGAACTGGGGTTATATGAGAACAACGCTCAGTCCCCGTCAGCAGCCTGGCAGCTCTATTCTGCACCAATTGAAGTATCCAGACCATCTTCAAGGGTAGCCCCATGTACAGCGCATTACAGAAATCTAATCGGGAAGTTACCAGCGCGTGTGTCACTGTCGCCAGGCAGTTGTTCTCCAGGAAGGGATGCAGCTGATGTATCAGCCGAAGCTGAAGGAAGGCGCTCCTCGCCACCGCATCACCTGAGCTTCTAGAGACAGCTCAGGGTCAAGGAGCACTCCTAAGCTGTGAACCCTGTCCCTCAGAGGGAGTGCAACCCCATTTAGGACAAGGCCCAAGTCCCCCATCCCGAGGCCTGAGCCACCCACCGACAGGACCTCCATCTTGTCTGGATTGAGCTTCAGTTTATTGGCCCTCATCCAGCCCATTACCTCGGCCAGGCACCGGTTCAGCACAGCCACTGCCTCACCTGGATTGGTGGAAAACGAGAGGTAGAGCTGGGTATCATCAGCGTACTGATGATTCTGCAGCCCACACCTCCTGATGACCTCTCCCAGTGGTTTCATGTAGATGTTAAATAGCAAAGGGGACAAAATGGACCCCTGCGGAACTCCATGGCATAACTGCCATGGCGCAGAGCCATAGTCCCCCAGCACCACCTTCTGAAATCGGCCATTGAGATAGGAGTGGAACCACCACCATGCAGTGCCTCCAACTCCCAATCCCGCTAGCCTATTCAGAAGGATACCATGGTCGATGGTATTGAAAGCCGCTGAGAGGTCCAGGAGAACTAACAGGGACACACTCTCCCTGTCTCTCTCCCTGCACAGGTCATCGTACAGGGCGACCAAGGCAGATTCAGTGCCATACCCGGGTATGAAGCCGGACTGAAATGGGTCCAGATAATCAGTTTCATCCAAGAGTGCTTGGAGTTGTCCCGCCACCACCCGCTCTAGCACCTTGTCCAGGAACGGGATGTTGGCCACCGGTCTATAATTGGTGGCCACCTCTGGATCCAGGGATGCCTTCTTTAGGACTGGCCGGACTACCGCCTCCTTCAAAGGGGGGGGGGGTACCCAGCCGTCTCTTAAAGAGGCTTGACCACCTCCAGGATCCAGGTCCCAATCCTGTCCTTGGATTTCTTAAGTAGCCAAGATGGGCATGGGTCTAGTAAGCAAGTGGTAGGACGTACTTGTCCAAGCACCTTGTCCACATCATCAGGCCACAACAACTGAAATTCATCCATTAATTGTGGACTCAATGGCGTCTCCCCAGTAGAATGTGATTCAATAGCAGAGTCAAGCTCGTGGCGAATCTGAGCGATTTTCTCCCTGAAATGCTTGGCAAAGTCGTCACAGCGGGCCTCCGAGGGTGGCACAAGATCTTTCTTTGGGCCCGGATGTATCAGCCCCTGCACCACCCGAAAAAGCTCCGCCAGACGGCATTGTGAGTAGGCAATGGAAACGGAGAAGACTTTCTTCTTCGCCATCCTCACTGCCACAGCATAGACCCGATCATGGGCTCTTAAGTGTGTTTGGTCAGAATCACCCCGTGATCTCCACCTACGCTCTAGACGTCTCCCAACCTGCTTCATCGCCCGTAATTCAGGTGTATACCAAGGACATGAACGGGCTCTGCCGGGTGAGAGAGGACGTTTGGGAGCGAAGGTGTCAATAGCCCTGGTCATCTCCTCATTCCACAATTCAACCAGGGCATCGACAGGATCACCAGCCTTGTCAACCGGAAAATCCCCCAGAGCTTCCAGGAATCCATCAGGATCCATCCGGCTCCGGGGGTGGACCAATGCTTGGTCATGTTACCAAACTCAGCCAGTCAACAGCTAGGGCAAACCCAGGTGGACCCCAGACCCGAGCCAAAAGGAGCCTGAGACAAGACTTAGAGCCAAAATCAGCTTTATTCTAGTACACTATAGAATAAAGGAAGACAAAAGGGGACATTCAGCCCAAAGCAGTGTCTCAAAAGTTGCTCCCCAGTACATGCATACCTAGGTTATACCCTAGGTAACCAATTAGGTCACCTAATACACATCTGATACATTGATACATCAATGTATGCACCCACTCCCATGCTGGAGAAAGAGTCCTTTCTTCTGTCAAGGACCAGACATTTCCCATGTCTATTTCTTATCTGCTTGAGATTCACATAGGCTTGCCATGTTCTTACTCCCTGCACATTTGCAACTTTCATGGCAGCTAGAACCAGTTTCCACTGTCCCTTTGATTACTGTATTCGAGGTCAGGCTAGCGTGTTAGCTGTGGGTTACACAAAGTTCATTTTGTTCTTATCCCCTCTCCCTTCTGGGACAGTATAACTGTGGTGTTTTTACTACGTGGCTTTCCTCTGACCAACTACTTTTGGGGCCTTCCTCTGGCCAATTACTTTTGGGGTGTTTTAGGGTGCTGCAATTGGCAACAGTTTCCCCCCTTCAAAGGAATCTTCTTATTAAAAGACAGTTTCCTCTTGATTAGGGAGATAGGTTACTAAGCCTTCGCAGCTTTGCCTTAAAGGTGCAGACTGCTGGTGCAGGTGAGGGCCACTTGAACAGAAAAACATAGAAGCATAGAAACAGAACAAGTCTGACCCCTGGTCCCAGCCAGCCTCACTCATGACATGCCTACCATGTGCAAGTCTGAGAAATATTAGAATGAATAATTGTTGACAAACACGGTCAATAACAGCAAGCAAAATAAGGAGGAAAAGCACAAAGAAGAAAATATAAAGGTTCAAGTTTTTGTAGCCAGCCTCGGTTGGAGAGCTAAAACAACAATCCTCCCAATCCACTTTTACCAGAATGAAATTTAAAGCAGGTTGTAAAGCATTGAGCTTTTGAATGAGATGCTTTAAACAAACAGTTTTGTCTTCTACAAGTGTTGCAAACCCTGTCCTCACTTGCTAACAATGCAGTGTCTAGCAACATTGTATGGCAAGTTGCTGAAGTTGAGCTAACTTTGTTGTATGTCTGAAATGGCATCAGCTGTTTCACTAGAAACACAGAGAATGCAGAGGCTCGCACTCTAATGTCATGGTGATTTGAGAAAACCCCAGCTGGTGGAAGAACGGCACAGAGAAAGGAATAGGCTACCCCGCTTTGGCAATGTCTCCCACCAATGTCTGAACTACCTCTCTGCAGTTTGGCCAAGCACCCTTGGGGACTTCTGTAGTAATTCAGAGATTGGGGACAAGGTATCCAGTGCCCTATCATTCTGTAGGGAAAGCCATGAAAACCTTCTGGCTACTAACCCAATAGGTCCCGAGGTGGTTTCCATGTTTGGAAGGCATACCTGTGTTGTGAAGCTGAGTCCAGAGATCCCCTGTAGAGGGTTTCTCCTGCGGAGTTTTGTATTTGCCAGTTATTTCCAATGTGGGCCATTGAGCTAGGCATATTTGCTGATTTCCATCTTTTGACCAGCACCAAGTTCTCTTGCACCCATAGTGTGCGTTCCAGGCTGTACCAATTGACACTTATTATTTATTTATTTATTAAAACATTTTTATGCCTCCCCATTCGCCGAAGCCTCGGGGCGGCTTACCAGCCCCATTTGTGTGAATAATGTATAGCAGTCATCATCTACATGTAGTTGCCCATCCAGCTGCAGGCCAGGACCTTTCCAGCTTAGCAAAGACAAAACTACATGCTAGACCCCGCACCAAACTCTCCCTCACATACAGGGGCCTATTCTAGCTTGTGCCAATTGGCTGTTGCTCTCTTGGGTGCTGTAGAGATGTTGCCAGTCCACCACCACCACCAAACTAGACCACTGTGCCTCAGTGGTCCTTGCCTGTAGTGGCCTCACATGGAGATTGTTTTTCCCAGGGATCTATGAAATCCTTTTTAAGCCAAACATGAATTCTTTCTTTTTGCTCTCCTTTGGCTGATCTGGGATGGCAGTGCCCGCCCTTCTGCAATTTGCATGTCAGTGTTACCTGGTCTTTGGTTAGGATCTAGACATGTGACATTTCCAGGTGAAAGAAATCTTTGCTGGGTTTTCAACAGTACTACTGAAACATAAGCATTCTATTGCACGCTGAGTCAGTACTCTAAAACTGAAAACTTAGGAATGAGGAAGTCCACTGTTTTCTTTCCACAAGGACATATGGTATAGAAGGGAGTAACAAAATTAACAGAAATAAACAGAGGCAGCCAGAGCAGTGACTCCAAGAAACCCCCCCTCTTCCCTTCAGCATTATTATCTAGGCTACTTAGCATTAGGCAAATGCAAGTATCTTTGTTTCAGTCTTCAAGCCGGGACCCGATCCTGGTCCCTAATATGCTGCTCAGGACTCTTCTTCCTTGCCCCCTTCAGTTGCGGGCCCTTGGTCCTGGTCAGTTATGCCACTGGTCCTCCCTTGCAGGGTTGGTGTTTGAACAAGAACTTTAGATCCTCCATAGGTTCCATGGTCCTTCGGTCTCCTTGTGGTTTTGGAACTTTCCTCAGCCTGGTGTAGTGTTCCCACATACGCACTCCCTCCGATCTCACTATTGTGTAGCGAGGGGCACCTGGGCATGGTCCGTCCACTGTATCAATGGTCTCCAGGCAGTCCACTCAGGCAAGTCGACTGATGTAAACCAGCAGGCCCCTCCCTTCCCCTGTGCCATTGCAAGCTGCAGGCAGCAACCAGCCAGTGGCTGCAGCTTCACACACTGCAGGCAGTCAGTTAGCCAGACCCGGCTGCTCTGGCATTGGAGAAGGAGTGATGCCAGCTAGCTGGCCAGCGTCACAGAAGGGTGGAGAGAGGTGCCTGCCAGGACTGGTGCGGGGGAGGACCAGCCCCCCCCCCCCCCCCCCCCGTTGTGCCTCATGCCTCAACAGAGGCAGCACCTCACAAGGAAGAGTCAAACGCCCAAACAGAGAATCAGACATCAGAACAGGAGAACTTATACTTGAGGCCCTGTAACCAGGCGACCCTTCCACAGCCTGACTTGGGAGTAGCTGAACAGATAGCCACCCCTCATCCTGACCTTTTACCCCTTGGGCAAACAGCCATGCCTCAATCTGGCCCCGAGGGCCCTGAGGGAAGAGACACTACGCGTTCTGTCTCTGAAGAGAGCGGGCAGAGTGCCCCCCTCTCAGTGTCAGAGTGCCTTCCTGACACTGAGCCTCCTGAACAAGACACAGAAGACGCAAGAGGTGGGATAGATTTGACCCGCGCAACTCTTAGACGTAGCTTACGCCGATTGGAACAAAAGGAAGCTTTGTCCCACCTCAGGGGGGAAAGGTGGGACAGGGAAAGCTAATCCCACATGGGTTCCCTGTAGGACGTCACTAAGGAGGTAGCAACTGACTTGTAAAGACCATTGCAGTAGAGCTTATCTGTAGCGTTGTAAATCTTGTAGATAAGTAACAATAAAAGGCTTTAGTTTTATTGTCTGCTGAAGTGTAGGTCATTTATACTGTGAGCTGACACCTCACAACAGCTTGCTACCTCCTCAGTCAAACGCTCTTCCAAAAACAAGAGCGTTTTAGCCCACACAGCCAGGCAAAGATTTTTTTCTCTCTCCATTCGCTATTTTTCTTTTTTCACTCTTGAGAAATCACACTGATGGATCCAGCTGCCCAAGTTCCTCCTTAGGTCCAGAGCCTGCGAGATGAAAACACTCTTCTGAGAAAGAAATATGCAGAGACAACACAACGGATGGAATCTATGCAGATTGAGTTGGATCATTTCCGTGCTAAGCAGCAAACAGCAGCAGCTCCCACACAAGCTCGAGAGCTGAATTTAAGATGATGCCCGGTGGAGCCTCCCCCCAAATACGACGGGAAGAAAGAAGGATTTACGACTTTCAAAGCAAAATGTGAACTCTACATTAACCTACGCCTTAATGACTTCACTGATGATAAGACAAAATTAGGCTTTTTAATAAATCAACTCACGGGGGCCCCAGCCTGCTGGGCAACTGCAATGCTGATAGCTCGAGATCCCATTTTAAATGACGCAACAACGTTTATGGATGCCTTGGGAAAGTTTCTTGGCATAGAATCTTGCAAAGAAATGGCCATTTGTGAGATAAAGCGTCTTAAACAGGGGCATGCCTCAGCTACTGAATACACTACTAAATTCCAACTCCTTATGAATGACTTGGGGTGGAACGAGGAGACCTTAATGGTGCAATACCGAGAAGGCTTGAGGGAGGAGGTTTTGGATGATTTAGCCCGCACGTCAATGCTATCAACTTTGTAGCCATTGATACTTCTGACAATACAGATTGATGAAAGGCTAACTGAGAGAGCCCGAGCTAGGCAGGAACGCCACGCTGGCCTGCTGCCAACTAAAGAAAGATGGTTCCCATGCACAGGAGCTAGGCCCCAACAACTCCCGCCTGATAACTATGTTGCCGTGGCAACACCTCAGCCGAAGCCGGAACCTGAGCCAATGCAGCTAGGAGCTACCAGGCCTCACATTCCAAGGGGAGATAGAGCTTACTGCCACCCAACCGGACCGTATTTTGTATGTGGACATAACGGCCATCTGGCCCGGTCTTGTCCTTTGAGGAAGCTGGTAGAAAACTTCCAGTCCCAGTGTCATTAAGCACCACGACACTGGGATCTTTCCATAAATCACAAGGGTGCCTCTCCCCAGGAAGAACTCCTTCAGCCCGACACCTGCTGGTCGATGCCACCTTACAGGCACATTCCCAGCCTGTAATTCAATCCACGGCACTGATTGATAGTGGTGCTACTGCTTCCTTTATGGATGAAGAATTTGCTAAGAAACACAGCTTTCCTACGTCAATACTGCCAACCCCACTCCAAGTGGACTCTGTCCAGAAACGTCCCCTGCAAGGGGGCCTCTCCTCCCGCCAATCCTCCCCCCTCACTCTGCAGATTGGCAAACACTGAGAACAAACTGCTTTTTTATTAGTGAAAGACCTACAGTACCCCCTGGTACTTGGCATGGACTGGTTAATTAAACACAAGCCCCAGATATCTTGGGACTCGGGGCAGATACAGTTCAATTCCACATTTTGTTTGCAGCACTACAGTGATCCTACGACCCACGCTACTCTTACCTCCCTCCTGCCTTCCACCACCACCCTCCCTCCACAATACCAAGACTTCTGGGACATCTTTGACCCACAGGAGGCAGACAAGCTGCCCCCTCACCACTCATGTGACATGGAAATCCACATACAACCAGGAGCAACTCTTCTAGTCAGCAAACTGCGACCCATGTCACCTAAAGAGCTCCAGGTCCTCAAAGACTTCATATCCACCAATTTAAAAAAGGGCTTCATCTGTCCATCCTCTTCACCCACTTCAGCAACGTCTATCATTGTGCCTTGAAAATATTCTGAGGAACCCAGAGTGTGTATCGATTACCGCCGCTTGAACGCAATCACCGTTCCCAACACGCACTCCATGCCACTAATCTCAGAGATTTTAGAACGCCTAGGCCAGGCGCGCATTTTTACCAAACTGGACCTCCGCAACTCCTACAGTTTGCTGCGCATCTGCCCTGGCTATGAACATTTAACAGCATTTTTGACCCGATTCGGCACCTTCAAATTTTTAGTAACCCCTTTTGGCCTTGTGAACTCGGGACAATTGTTTTGCAGATTGATTAACGAGATCTTCCACGATTTTCTCGACGACTTCTTGATCGCCTACCTGGATGATTTGTTGATCTTTTCCAATGACTCTGAGTCTCACATACGCCATGTACAAGCCGTCCTCCAATGCATGGGAGAATACCACCTCTTTGCTAAATTGGAAAAATGTGAATTCCACACCACCTCGCTCCTGTACCTCGGCTACCGCATTTCCCCAGACTGACTGCCGATGGACACTGAGAAGGTGTGGGCAGTACTATCCTGGCAACCACCACAGACGAAAAGAGGACTACAAAAGTTCTTAGGATTTGCGAACTTCTATCGTTGGTTCATACCGCACTTCTCACGCTTAACTGCACTGTTGACGGACCTTCTGAAAGACAGAGGACGCCACCTAAATTGGCCGCTCAACACCGCATCCGCATTTGACACTTTGAAACACCAATTCACTTCAGAACATCAGCTGATCCATCCCGACACATCCACGCCTTTTGTACTATAAACCAATGGCTCCGACAGAGCCATGGGGCAGTTCTCCTACAACCACAACACGGGGCCATCACTGACCTCAGACCAGTGGCTTTCTACTCTCACAAACTCTCAAGTTCAGAGCGGAACTACATGATTTGGGAGAAGGAACTGTTAGCGATCAAAGCTGCCTTACAGGAATGGCGACATTTGCTTGAAGGTTCTCCACACACAGTCCTCATCCAAATAGATAACAAGAACCTAGTTCATTTCGCTACCGCCAAAATACTCAACCAAAGGCAAGCACGATGGGCTCTATTCTTCGCTCGCTTTCACTTTCGCATCGAATATATACCCCCTTCAAAAAACCTCCTGGCTGACGCTCTGTCCAGGAAACCGGAATACTTTGGCAACAACGAAGTGCAGCCCGACCCAACCCCGATACTGCAACCTGAAATGACAGCCGCAACGACCATCTCCACCTCCTGCAATACTGAACTCCGCCAAGCCCAGCAAGCTGACCCCCTCATCCGAACAAAGAGGGAACAGAGGAGGACAGTCACCCTTCCTGCCACATACTCATTTGAGGATGACATCCTACTCTATAACCATGTTCCGTATGTTCCATTACCACTCCCAGAACGAATCTTGCAACAATGCCCCAACTCCCCGTCCACGGGACATTTCAGGGTTTACAAAATGCTGCACACCCTCTCCAGAGGCTATTGGTGGCCCCACATGTACCATGATGTCAAATCGTACGTTCTATCCTGTCCCACACGCCAACGCGCCAAACGCCCACCTGGAAAACCCCCAGGACTACTTCACCCAGTAGAAACCCCTCCCGGGCCCTGGCACACCATTTTGATGGACTTCATTACTGATTTCCTGCAATCGAGTGGCTTCACCACCATACTGGTCGTCACAGACCTATTCACGAAGATGGCTCACTTTATCCCCTACACGGGGCTTCCCTTGGCCAAGACCACCGCCTCCCTATTCGTCCATCATATATATAAGGCACACGGGTGGCCCCTTGCGTTAATTACCGATAGGGGCAGTCAGTTCACATCCCGATTTTGGCGAGAACTCCTGACCTTGCTCAAGGTGTACCTACGCCTCTCTTCAGCTCACCACCTGCAAACCGACAGGCAAATGGAACGTCTCAACATGATGCTCGAGCAGTACCTCCGCTGCTATGTGTTGGCTCTCTCCCATTGGCAGAGTTCACGTACAACAATTCTGTCCACGCCTCTACCCTACAAACTCCTTTCTTCGCCAACCTTGGTTACTATCCTTGGGCTTTTCCTTCCGCACTTCCGATGTCGTCCATCCCTGCTGCCAGGAATTTTCTGCACGACTGGGCTTCGGTGCAGTCCGTACTCAAACAACAATTGGACAAGGCCAAGGCAACCTATAAGGAAGTCGCTGACCGACACAGACAGCCTGGAACTCCTCTGCATGTCGGCGACTGGGTTTGGTTGTCTACCAAATTTCTTCCCCTTTTGGTGCCCTCTCGCAAATTAGCCCACAAACGCGCTGGACCATTCCATATCCTCTCCCAAATCAATCCTGTGGCCTTCCGATTGGCTTTGCCCCCATCCAAGAGAATCCACCCGGTCTTCCACCGGGCACTACTTTCTCCTGCCCTGTGGCAACACCCCCTCTGCTCTCAACTTCCACCACCCCCACCCGTGATAGTTGATGGACAGGAAGAATTTGAAATCGAAGAGATCCTCGACTCTAGATTCCGGAGGGGATGCCTGCAATATCTAGTACACTGGAAGGGCTACACCCCCCCCCCCCCGAGGACCACAGTTGTGAACCCCTTGACCACATTCATGCACCCATCCTCCTGCGATGATTTCACTCCCGTTTCCCGCATAAGCCAGGTAGCACTCACCTCCATCACCACCGGGGAGGGAGAGGTCATGGAGGGCGGGTAGTGTTGTGCTTCACACCTCAACAGAGGCGGCACCTCACAAGGAAGAGTCAAATGCCCAAACAGAGAATCAGACATCAGAACAGGAGAACTTATACTTGAGGCCCTGTAACCAGGCGACCCTTCCACAGCCTGACTTGGGAGTAGCTGAACAGATAGCCACCCCTCATCCTGACCTTTTACCCCTTGGGCAAACAGCCATGCCTCAATCTGGCCCCGAGGGCCCTGAGGGAAGAGACACTACGCGTTCTGTCTCTGAAGAGAGCGGGCAGAGTGCCCCCCTCTCAGTGTCAGAGTGCCTTCCTGACACTGAGCCTCCTGAACAAGACACAGAAGACGCAAGAGGTGGGATAGATTTGACCCGCGCGACTCTTAGACGTAGCTTACGCCGATTGGAACAAAAGGAAGCTTTGTCCCACCTCAGGGGGGAAAGGTGGGACAGGGAAAGCTAATCCCACGTGGGTTCCCTGTAGGACGTCAATAAGGAGGTAGCAACTGACTTGTAAAGTCCATTGCAGTAGAGCTTATCTGTAGCGTTGTAAATCTTGTAGATAAGTAACAATAAAAGGCTTTAGTTTTATTGTCTGCTAAAGTATGGGTCATTTATACTGTGAGCTGACACCTCACAACACCCGCCCCCCCCTTTTTGCACCTCCATGCCAGAAGTTGCCCTGGTGCTGAGGAACAGCCATGCGTGCCCCAAGAAAGCACTGACTGCCAGTTTTCCAAGCCTGCGTTTACAGCTTTGGGGGAGTTTGACAAACCTCCTCCTTCCTCTCTTGAGGCAGCTGGTATTTCCTCCCCTTGCAAGTCAGAAGCCCAAATACTGCACCTGTTCTTGTGAGGTTTGCATCTTCTCCTTGGTGACCCAACGAAATCCAGCAGATGTGCACTGGTCTGTGGCCTCAGTGGCAATTAAAAGATGTTTCACATACTGCAGGAAAAACACCATTAGAGTCTCTAGTCCATTCAAACAAGTCCTTAGCCAGTGCTTGAGAGAAAGGTGGGTGAATTCTGGCTCTTTGTCCCATCCTGGCATTCTCATTTGAAGGCAAAAAGAATTAGTTCCATAGGAAGCACTCCATGGGCCCCACAACTGGGCAGGTGGCCTGATGCCCTGTGTCCCCATTGTCAAGAATCCCTGCTGTGTCCCCCCCACCAATTGGGACAGTCACAACTGAGCAGACTGCCCTAGTGTCCACCAAGAAATCCATGTTCTCATCTCCTACCCTCATTCTCTCCTGGGGTTGTGGGGGATGACATGGAACTCTTCCCGTGAGTTCCCTATTCTTCCCCCAGAGTCTCCAAAGTGGTCACGACAGCCCATGCCTTGTTCTGGGAGTATTCCCTTTTCCATTGTTGCTCCTGTTTGCACATCACACTCTTACTGTATTCCTTCCTCTCCTATGGAACTCCAATCTTGGCTGGCGGCACTGGTAGCTTCCATCGCTCCCTGCCTTTCCCCATTTGTGCTGCAGCACCGCCTTCATCGCCACTGCCATCAGATCCATTTGCAGGCTGTCTTTCGGTACATTTGCTTTTTAACTATGCATCTTCTTAGCCGTTTTCAAAAACTGCACCTACTGAACACCACCAAGCTATGTGTTACGTACAACTTGTGTGTGTGTGTGTGTGTGTGTGTGTGTGAACTCCAGCTTTGTCCAGGTCTCCTTTTGAAATGACATGTAGTAGACTGTTTAACTTTTCCTTGCCACTTGATTTTTTCAGTAAGCAGATTATATTTTGGCAACTAGATAGGTCTAAGTGGAAGGGTCTACAAGTGGAGAGTATGCTACCAATTAGTAGATATATGGGTAAACAGACAGTCTTTGGAGGCTATATAGTAAGCATTCAGCTCTAACTGTTTAATGTTTTTTAGACCTTGCCTTTTGATTTGAAGTCACCTGGAGGGTGGCTGCACAAATTTACTCAAAACAATTATGTAGAATCCATAAAACAGAAGTAGAAAACCAAAAAAATCAACATAATAAGCACTTCAGAGTGGGGAAGGAGGATGCAGGGGATACAGGTTACTTCATACTCTGGCCTCTGAGTCTTCTCCCCTGCCTACCGCTTGAAGGATATCCTAGAGAGAGTCCCTGGCCTCAGTGAGGCAGCTGGCACAGCTCTTTCTGGGTTGGATGCATAGTTGGGGTGGGTAAATAGAAAGGAATGTGGGTTCCCACTTCTGTGGTTGTCCCTGACCTCAGATCTGGGAATACAAAGTATCTTATGGTTTCCTAGATGCTGTCCAGGGGCCACAAGATCACTCCCTAAGTAAAGATGGAATAGCTGTACTGTTAGTGTACAGTTAATAGCTGCTGGTTAATGCTAGGACCAACTGTCTTTATGAAGTGGATGTTAGTTTACTATAATATCTGGACAATTTTGTGTTTGCGATTGTTCTCTCTACAGATCCCTGGGATTTTGCTTCAGAAATGGAGGAGATACTGTCACTTGTGAAACAAATGCAGAATGGTATTTTGAAGTTAATTGTTAGAGGGATATACCTAGTAGGGGAGTAGGTAATAGTGTACACAGGATAGTTAAAAGTTGGGATATCTGAGCACTTATATTTCCCCCTGTTTTGCTGTCAGGAGAATATTTCTGACTAGTAGGTAAAGCTGGCCAATATCTAAAATTTTGCATTCCTAGGTAGCAAATAAGTTTAGTTTGATCTGTTGTTGATCTAACTATGACTTGGGTTCAGAATAAGGTTTCCCAAATTTATGAAGGGAGTGTTAACTAGTATATCTATGCTTATGCCAAAGAATTGTATGTCTGTACTCTGCAAATATATTTCCATGCTGTTAGGAGATAGAGCCAATCATATTTAGTTCTTTATGATAGAATGCACATAAATTTACAATACAGCCATATACAGACATAATGCCTTTAGTATTTTTAGATGCCAGGAGTGCCCCAACCTGGAATCATGAGCCCCATATTAAGATCTTCAAAAATTTATTTGAGGCTTCTGTATCCATTGTATGTAAGTGTTCATGAATGATGAGGAAAGTCACATTAGGAAGAGAAAAAAGTGGAAGATTTGTTTGGGGTTGGGCAAGAGAACATGGTGAGAGGGAAAGGCTACATCAGGAGGGTCTGTGGAGGAGGAAACCAGCAGTTTCTCTGGCAGCATCAGAAAATAATCAAGCATGGTATTAAATGTATTGCATATATAGAAATATTGGTGTTTTCCTTGGGGCTCCAGGTTATGACACTTGCCAAGGGATAGAAGATATACCATAATGTATGGGGAAATGGTGCAATTTGGAAGTTGAAACTATTAACTTAATATTAATTATATTCTATTTGCATAGCATGATGAATTCATCTGTAGTTTAACTTCTTTTTGTAGTGCAAAATCTGGAGCCAAAAATTGAAGACTTAGTAAAAAGGATCAATAAATTGCAGCAAGGTAAGAAGAAAAGAGAGATTAGCAGTCTTTATTTCTAAAGAGAACCTTAAAAGCAGGTACTCCTGCAATGGACATTGCCCAGTTGAGGCTTCTGATTTCTGCACTTTTGGAACTGTGTGCTTGTATAGTTGTGCAAGTGCAGCTTTAAAAAATTGTATATATGTGCCTTTAAAAATAAATTTCTTGCCAATTACTAGTGGCCCCTTCAATGTGCCACATGGAAATGGCTGTTGAAATGGATTGCAAACAGTGGCTGTGAGACCACTGGGGGGAGAAAAAAAGGGCAAAAAGGGTTAAAGGAAATAAAAGGCCATGGCAAGCCAAAGGAATCACAGTCATGCTGGGGGAGGTGCACAGGCAAGTAAGTTCTGCCACAGAGTCTCCTGGCATGCCTTTAACAGGACCAAGGGTGAGGGAGAAGACAAACAGCCCAAGGTGAGCTTAGTTGTCTGTCAGGTGCCTCTTGAGTTGTTGGCACAATGATCAACCCACTATGGCTTATTTCCAGGATGGATTGTTGTGACATACAAACTTGCCTGTAGTATTTATAGTTCACATTTTTGGGTCTAAGGGTAACAAAAACAAATTAATATTATGCTTCCCCTCCTCAGCAAAACAACTACCCTATATTAATCAAAATGTTCTCACCTTCTACCAACAATCATGGCCTTGAGCCTCAAAAGTCAGCCCAAATTGGTAACTCTTATGATGTATATGAAAGAAACTATTTATGGTCAGATACACAGTCATGGCAGAAGATTTAGTGGTGATTTAAGACTATTGTCATGATCCGTATTACATGAATTATCTGGTTGTTTGATCCATCTCATATTTGGTGTTCCTCCTCTTCTTCTGCCTTCAACTTTTCCTAGCATTACTGTCTTCTCCAACTAATATTGCCTTCTCATGTTGTGCCCAAAGTACAACCTCAGTTTTATCATTTTTGCTTCCACAGTTTGTTAGGTAGAGCCAAAGTTAGGAACAAGAGAGATAGGGTTACTGAATTAAGACTACTGGTACTAGCTCAAGGTTTGTACTACTACAAAGCAGGATTCAAATCTTTCTCTGGATGCATCCAGATCCAGCACTCTGCTTTAGCACTCCACTGATCATTTATTCCCACTTTTCTTTCTTTTGCTGCATTTGTTTCTAGCCAAGAAGATAATAAGTGAAGAGTTCTCTGAGGCAAATAAGCACAGCAATGCACTACAGAGGGAACTGGAAAAATGTAGGTAATTCCAGAATTATGTGATAAAAACATGATCATTGTGAATATAGGATTCTTACTGAAATTACTTGACTTACCTGGATAAATTATATTTTTTATATTTATATTCTTAAGCCCCTGTTTTGGCTCAGTTGTAACACAATGAATCCAGACAGAACTCTAGACATAAATGGTCCTTTTGAAAGGTTTTAGATTTGGAAATTACTATCCGTAAAGTAATCCTTAGCAATATAGTAAGGCAGGTTTCATATCTTCTTTTGGGAAGGGCAGGTGGGAATGAGCACCAGGGCAAATTAAGAATGGTTCTAATCCTTTCAGGATACTGCTGTTCAAAATGCATTTTTTCACTGCTCAGAGACACTGCTTTAGTTTGAAGTCAGTGCAAAAAGTAGCTGCTGCTTGCTCAGCTTCTTAATATTATGTATCATGTGTTTCCAATTTTCTCCTTTACCAGCAGTATCCAATATAATGACAATCCATAGCTTATCATATGTGAGTGGGAGTGTATAAGTGTGCAGCTTCCAGTGTATTCCTCACTTCCATTTTCAGTTAGCAACCTATTATGAAAACTTATGGGTAAATATGCTTACTGAAATTATATAATTATTTTAATAGCTACCAATGTATTGCATGATCTTTTGTCCATTTTCAATTTTCTGCACATTGCTATCAGGAATACCTCATCACATCTTCCTAGCTAAACAACTATTGATCCAGATTCCAGGAAGATAGAGAGCAAAGTGACACAAAAGCAGAATGAGCTTTGTATAAGATGTATACTTTTTAGTCAGTTCTTCATCACACAAGATTTTGAGATAATATATATTACAGGTTGGCTAACCCTCGGCACCTGCAGATCCAGGGAACGATTTGTCTGAAGTATTTCTGCACTACTTTTCTCTGAATTAACCTCACTGGTTTCTCAAAATAAAATTTTCTATAATGTATAATTTTCAAAGTTTGCTTTGAAACAACCTATGCAATAACTTAATGAGAACAGTTCTTTCCAAGCTTTGCATCATCCATATGGCATAAAAAGATAAACTGGGGCCTCTTCCGCTTACCAGTCTTGTACTATCATAAAGGCAGAACTGAGCGAATTCTTTTCCTTCTCTTGTAGTGCATGCTGAGAAGTCAACACTTGAGGAAATACTGAACAAGAAGAAAGGTGATAACAAATTTGGGAGTGCTTGTTTGAGGTTTTCAGGACCGTTTTAGCACACATCCAAAACATCTCCCCTTCAATATGCATATTGGTTGCAGGGAGAGCCCGTTTTTTTCAAGCACTGGATCTATTATCTGAGTCAATCTGAATTTTCCCCCCATATGGGGCATTCATTATTACTATGATTGTGGTCTGGAATGTGGTTTTGAGAATGTTACATAAATTCTACTGGATATGGTCTGTGGCAATGTTATTAAAGAGCAAGACAAACTTCACTCTCCTTAATGGTTGTTTCATGTTATATGGGTTTAATTTAAAATATTAGCTGGCTGTGCTTTCCTGTGGTACAGACTTTGCACTGTAGCCCTCTATAACCAGATATCCTTTTATTTAAATCTTCTGTAGCAACAAACACTACCCTTTCTTCCTCACACCTATTTTGTAAAAATTTTGTTCCCTTTAAAATTGTTTTATTGTCTTGAATATCTTTGTGCTACTCTGTTGTTATAGTTATGATACACATTTATATCCTTTCCTTAAATACAAAGTATTTCCAGGGTGGCTTACAGAGTTCCAATAGAATACAAAAATAAACAGTCTTTCGACAATGATAACACTGTAGCATACACACATGTGCTCTAAAAATATGTGACAAAGATCACCCATGACAAAGATCAGGCTATCTTTTGTAGCAAAATACAGCAAGATCTTCTTTCCATTCCCATCTATGGTCTGATGGTATATCTGGTTGGGATTAGGTCAGGTATAATGAGATCCAAATATAATGTAATTGAAGAACACCACTTAATAATTTTATAGATATATCTTTAGTTCAACATGGCTTCATATGAGGAAGGACTGGTGCAGAACTTATAGTCCCAAGAAAGTTCATTTTAGTTGAGTGATCTCTAACTTTACATTTCATTTTTTCACAGCAGCAGCACTGATACTTTCACGTAACTATCCATAATAATACCAAGATCCCTTTCCTAGTTAGGTTTCCCTCCTCTGACAATCTGTTAGGTTTCTGTACTCCGCACATGGGAAGGATGGAGTACTCCCTTTCCTCCAGCCCATCTTACTTGTCTGTATGCACTTTCTTATTTGTTGTATCTTCCAGGCAAGTACTTAAATACAGGACTTATGTACTCTATTCTGTTTGATGAGATTTCATAAGATATATTGCATTATTTGGAAACTAGGAATATTGCTATGAGTTCAAAGCTAGAATTCAAATGACCATGTAGAAAAATTACACATAAAAGGAGCAACTGTGTGGCTAAATGCTAACACTAATCTTCATTGTAGAGGCCTGGAAAATCATGCAGCTACACTGTGAGGAGACAAAGACTGAGATGCAAAGGTAGGCTATGGTAGCACTATCAGTCAAAAGACCTATTCCAACTCTTCCTCCTTAACAGATTTTTTCATGGAATGAAAAAATAAATAGTGAAAAAAACATGAGGTTTACAAGTATAAGGCAATGAAGATGTCTGGGCTTCTGTAAAATCACAGGGTGATTGCTCAATAACAAAAGCCTTGTCTGGAAGCCCCTCAGGTTAAAAATGAGACATCAGTCTTGCCTCTTTGGTCATCTTTATTTATTTTGTATGTTGAATTTCTTAATATGTTACTTGATGTTCAGAAATTGCTAGTAAATGCTATCAAACTATCGACAATTACTTTGGGGGGGGGAGAATAATATTAAGCTGCAAAGACTTTATAAATTCATAATTGTAACAAAAAGATCCATTAACTCAGGATCACATAGTTATATGAGTATTGTCCCTCTTAGCACTTTTGCTTGGTAAAAACATATATTGGATATATGTTGCCATCCATTCATTAACTATATTTTATAGACAACAGGATAAATCAGAAGCAGCCCAATCACACATTGTGTAATGTCAATAGGAACTTAAATCTGAGCCAGATATCTAGAGACAGAAATAGTACTTCTGGGGCTGGTGGTAGCTTTCTTCACATGCCAAACAATAGCGGGGTAGGATTTCTGTCAGGACTGAGCGCAACAGGAAAGAATTGCATGCCTTCTGTGTGCACCTTGGTCCCATAGCTCATATGGTTTGGCCCAAAGCATTCAAATGTTAAGAACACTTTAAGATAACATTATCTACTCAATATAGTGCAAAACATAAGGTATAGAAGATAAATGTATTTTATGCTCTATGCAGGGTTGTCACAGCTGAAGCGGAGAATGCAATAGGAATCTCTAAGAAAGTCTGGATGATGTTAGTCTAGGGCCAGGCTTGCTATCAAATTTTATTTCTCTATAATGTATACAGTGCCTTCCCTCATATATTGTATTGTATGACCACAGCTCAGCACCACAAAATTAGGAGGCTAATTCTGAACCTAAGCTTCATCTTGTTTATCAGGCAGCAGAAACTGAACTCAGAGTGTAAGCAAAATATTGAGGAACTTGCAACCAAGATCCACGAGGAGAAACTGAAGCAAAGCAAGCAGAGGTATTTCCTAGAACCTTGTGATAAAAATCTGTGTTGTAAATGTCATGCAAGTGTTCATCTTTAAGTCTTGACCTACACTTGGATGTCACAATTTTCATCTTGGAAAAAGTTTGTTCACAGATGTATGTGGTGCCAAAGCCTGTGAACATGTTTAAATCTCCACATGCTAATACTTTCAAAACTGGGGGCACTCCAAAAAAGGGCAAGTAGAGAGAAAGATCGAATGAAAGGACAGCCTCCCACCTGGAGCAGAGGATATCCCAATAAGTTGGCTTCAAATTATATGCAGGTGCTCATACACATCACTTCCTGCCAGCCAAGCCTCAATCATGAGAAGTAAAATGGCAGCCACGGGAAAGGGAACTTGACTGGAGGAAAATGTGGGAAGGGGAATCCCATGTGCTTTCCTGCTAAGATAATACTGCTTCCCTCTCAACCCAAGGGGCCACTCACTGGCTCGTGCAATCATTGATGCATGAGAAGACTCCTAGCTGGAGTGTGTGGGTGAGGAATGGCAAAAGAGAGCTGTATGGCTAATGGGGCAGATTAGAATTCAAATAAATAAATACATTAAGCAATAAGTCAGAGCAACCAGCTCTTGTTGAGAAAGGAAGGATGCTTTTGCCTAAAGCAGCAACCTCACCAGTAACCTTGGAAGCCACTTGGAGGAGCCTTGATGTGTGGAGCCTCTAGAAATGTTCAGCATGCAAAATACTTGTGTCCTTTTTGCAAAAATACCAGGCCTTTTACTCTCCTTTTCCCACCATTTTTGTAAAAGCAGGCCAGACATCTCCTGTACCCATCCTCACAGCAGCTTTATCTTTCTTTCACACATATATAGCCTTCAGCAAGGTTATTTATTTATTTATTACAAGCATTTATATCCCATCCTATTACCAAGCACTCAGGACAGCTTACAAAATATAAAAGTACACTATAAAATATAAAAATACAATATAAAACCTCAATTATTTAAAACAGTATGAAGTATATCACAAACTTAAGAAAAAGGAGGAAAAAATAGAAAGTGCAACTGTGAAGGGAAAAATCCTAAAACATTGGTTATTAAAATAAAAAATCTAAAACCATTGGTTATTAAAATAATGGTTGAATAAAAAGGTTTTTACCTGGTGCCAGAAAGAGTATAACGTCAGCACCAGGCGGACCTCTCTGGGTAGCAGATTCCATACTCTGGGTGTCACTGCAGAGAAGGCCCTCCTCCAGGTAGACACTCTCCGTACTTCCTTTAGAGAGGGTTTCTGGAGCAAGGACTCCCCCGCCGATCTTAAGGATGCAGGGAAAGGGTAGGGGGTGAAGAGCTGAGTGGTATGGGTACCTGACTCTGCCTGCTAGCAAAACATCCAGAATGGCTAAAATGTTGCTATGGAGGATAAGACCAAAAGGGGGATGACAGAATGAACCATGGAGATCAGAAGAAACATGCTGCTATTGTGTTTTGTAAGAAAGGGACTGGAAAAACAGCAGTAGATGGTGCCACTTGAGGCAGGAAGAACAGTGAGGGTCTGAGGGAAAATGCCTTGAGGGTGATAGTAGTAAACAAGCTGGTTGGAAGGCTGCACATAAGGAACATGGGGGTGGCAGGTTGGGGACCCCTGCTGTAGGGAATTATTTATTTATTTATTTATTTTATTAAAACATTTTTATGCCGCCCCATTCGCCGAAGCCTCGGGGCAGCTTACAACAATAAGTTAAAATAATTATAATATAAATCAAAAATATAAACATTAAATTAAACATACAAAGATACAGTATAAAATAAGCCGCCCTGGCCAGATAAAATCCAATAATATTAACAGTTAAAATGCTGCTTGAATAAAAAGGTCTTCGCCTGGCGCCGAAAAACAAATAACGACGGCGCCAGGCGGACCTCTCTGGGGAGCGCGTTCCATAACTTAGGAAAAGTTTCCATAACATAGAAAGCCCTCCTCCAAGTACCCACCCTCCTAATTTCTTTCACGGAGGGTTCCCGGAGAAGGGCCTCCCCTGCCGATCTCAAGGGGCGGCTGGGCATATATGGATGCAAGCGCGCCTTCAGGTAACCAGGACCCAAGCCGTTTAGGGCTTTATAGTTCATCACCAACACCTTGAATTGGGCCCGGACTTCAATGGGAAGCCAGTGAAGCTGACGGAGAACTGGAGTCATGTGAACATAATGCCCAGTCCCCATCAGCAGCCTGGCAGCTCTATTTTGAACCAATTGAAGTATCCGGACCGTCTTCAAGGGTAGCCCCACGTAGAGCGCGTAACAGAAGTCAAGACGGGAAGTCACCAGTGCATGTGTCACTGTCGCGAGGCAGTCGTACTCCAGATAGGGGCATAGCTGGTGAATCAGCCGAAGCTGGAGGAAAGCGCTCCTCTCCGCTGCTGTCACCTGAGCTTCTAGTGAAAGCTCCGGGTCGAGGAGCACTCCCAAGCTGCGAACCTTGTCCCTAGGAGGGAGTGCAACCCCATTCAGAACAAGGTTCAGTTCATCCTCTCCGAAGCCCGAACCACCAACCAACAGGACCTCCATCTTGTCTGGATTGAGCTTCAGTTTATTGGCCCTCATCCAGCCCATTACCTCGGCCAGGCACCGGTTCAGTACAGCCACTGCCTCACCTGGATTGGTGGAAAACGAGAGGTAGAGCTGGATATTGTCAGCGTACTGATGGTTCCGCAGCCCACACCTCCTGATGACCTCTCCCAGTGGTTTCAAGTAGATGTTGAACAGCAACGGGGACAAAATGGACCCCTGCGGTACTCCATGGCATAACTGCCATGGCGCAGAGCCATAGTCCCCCAGCACCACCTTCTGGAACCGGCCATTGAGATAGGAGCGGAACCACTGCAAAGCACTGCAAATTAATTACCAAAAGAAATAAGAATAACCCATAGTTTAAACAGGTATTAAAGTGGTCTGGATAAATTGATGCAGAATGGTCTGGTAATTACAATCAGCTATATGTAACTTCCATATTCAGAGATAGTATATTTCTGATTATAAAGTACAGGGGACAAGTGGAAAGTAATAGTAATTTCCAGTTTGCTCTACTTATGAGCTTTGTTGGGACATTTGTATGTTTGCTGTTGAATATGAAGCACTGGACTGGACGTGCTCTTGGTCTGGTGCAGCCTAGGCAGTTCCTTGGCTTAGAAATATGCTGCTGTCTCCCTTGCAATGATTTTACTCTGCTCTTGCCATGCCCTGACCTCTGTGTGTGTGTTTTTGCTTTCAGATCAAAATTTCAGCAGCAACTTGATGAATTGATAGAGAAGCACAAGAGTCTCTGGGACCTTTATGTAAGACCAGGTCCTTTAATGAGTTTTCTTGCAGTATGTCTAATCCTTGTCATGTTCATTTGTGTGTGACAGTATGTGAATACAGCAGAAATAGAGTAGTATATTCTTGAATTGTGTCCCTTGCTTTAGAAACAAACTGACATCAAAAGAACTAGATACATTGGAAGGTACCTGAAAAGAGAGGCTGCTGGGTTCTGTGTCTGGATGAGGAAGTGTGACAGTATTAATTCAAGTAGCAAGGACAGAAACTATGGAAGAGTTCCTTGGTGTTCTTCTGATGGATATAATATAGGAATGGGAAAATGTTGTCAGGAGGAACAGGCAGAACACTAGAGAAATAAGGACTATATTGGGATTAAGGAACATGGGAAGAAATGTTATTTTTTTCAGAGACTGCTGTCTGTGGAATCTTGGGCATTTTGAAGGGCAAGACTTGTGCCCTTAGTCTTATCTTGCTTTTCAGTAGACTCCATTCCTGTAGCACTTTCTGCAGCTTCCAGACACTGACACAACAAGGGTTGGCTCTTAAGGACAAAGTTTATGAGACATATGACCACTTAGTGAGTGGGAGGTGATGGGGACATCACAATAGCAGAGGCAAACTTTATCTATTCTTGTCATGATGGTGCTATGATTTAAATAAACATAATATATACAATTGTTCATGTATGCAAAATTAGAATTGGCTGGCATGTTAACATATACAGTGGATGCCAAAAATGTATACACATTGTAAGAAAGGAAAAAACTGTATTAAAAACTGTTGCATGGTGATGTTAGCATTCATTTGATTAACACTATCTTTTGAGCAAACATCATACTACACATTGCTACTGTAATTCAATTCAACTTCAAAAAGTAATATATAGATAACATCTCTTAAAATGTGTATACATTTTTTGCACCCTCTGTGTATAGAATGTAGGGGCATGGAATAGTGTGTGTATGTGTGTTGTGGGGAGGGGGAGATTGGAGTAGAGAGCTGTTGTGTGTCTCACAACTGATGCAATGTGTGTGGCTATCCAAAGGGGCTCCCCATAAGACAATTCAGTCCAGGGAAAAATTATCTAGTTACCTACTGCTTCCATGGTCAGCCTGCGCTATGTAAGATCAGACAAGATGAGATATTAGGCTAAAATGTGCTGTGTCGTTGCCATGTTAGTACTGATTATTTATTTATTTATTTATTTATTTAAAATATTTATATGCCGTCCTAAACTCAAAAAAGCCTCAGGACAGCTTACAATGTAATAACATAAATAACATAAATAACATTCCCGACCCACACTGGCTGCAATTATAAAAACATAGAAAAAACAATATTAAAACTGATTAAAATACCTCTGGAATAAAAAGGTCTTAACCTGGCACTGAAAAACAAATAACGACGGTGTCAGGCGGACCTCTCTGGGGAGTGCATTCCATAGATGAGGAGCCACCGCAGAGAAAGCCCTCCTCCGGGTACTTTGCCTCCTAATATCTTTCACGGAGGGTTCCCGGAGGAGAGCCTCTGCTGCCAATCTCAAGGGGCGGGAGGGCAAATATGGAAGAATGCGTTCCTTCAGGTATCCAGGTTCCAAGCCGTTTAGGGTTTTATAGGTAATAACCAGCACCTTGAATTGAGCCTGGACTTAGATGGGAAGCCAGTGAAGCTGGTAGAGGACTGGGGTTATGTGAGAATAACACCCAGTCCCCATCAGCAACCTGGCTGTTCTGTTTTGCACCATCTGAAGTATCCGGACTATCTTCAGGGGCAGCCCCATGTAGAGCGCATTACAGAAATCCAACCGGGAAGTAACCAATGCATGTGTCACTGTCACTAGGCAGTCTTCCTCCAGGTAGGGGCGCAGCTGATAGATTATCTGAAGCTGAAGGAAAACGCTTCTCGCCACCGCAGTCACTTGAGCTTCCAAGGACAGCTCCGAATCGAGGAGCGCTCACAAGCTGGCAACATGATAGCCATTGTAACTCTTATGCCTGGACAAACATGTCCTTAGCAAAATTACCTGCTATACATTTTGAGGTTTCTCATATGAGCCAGACCAGCAAGAACATGTACAAAGAGGTACAAATATTAGCTCTGTTCAAGTATGTGATACCTTCAAGTACTGACTACACAAAAGAGCTATTGAGAACATACAGCTAGCTCCGTCCCTAGATATGGGCATCTGAGATTCTCAACCCTATCCCCACCATGGCAATTGCTGCCAGTCTGAAGTGAGCCATATGTGCTCTCTCTATAGGGGCAGAAACCTTGACTGAATAGAGTCACATCCATACAGTGACTCCTACATGCATACATCTATATTCACATTGGCTTCCTGCAGACTGACACATCAGGCAGAGGAATGTAGCTGGCATGAACCTCCATCAACAATCCTTTCATGTTTGTGGAAGGACAATGATATGATACTAGAGATATATTAATTTGCTGCATTTTTACTGTTATTAACAGTCATGGGAAGTGACAATATGCATCAGGATCACATTTCTAAAAGAGAAGTTTTCCTAATTATTAAAGCAACAATATTTATGGTGATGATGATGATTCTTTCGATTTTTACAGGTTTCCTTTTCACTGTGATATGTTCCTGATTAAAACACCCCTCTCCTCAAGTTGGTATTTGACATATGGGACAAAACCAGTAGGTACTCATATACCTACAATGTTTTGCCTTGTGCAACTTTGGTGTGTGCATATGTGTCTCAGTAATTTTGAGGAGATGAATGGTGCTGGGAGAAAAAGTTAGAAGGCTTTCCCCTGATGCTCTGGTCCTAAACCTATTCCCCCACCCCTCTCCATGGCTGTTATTAGCAGTTTAAGAAAACCAATGGAAACCCTATTCATAGATCTCTTGCATCACTTTGCATCTCCCTTGGTCCTGGTGGCAATGTGATTTGTGGATCGTTCTCCTTTCCATTCTATTCTGTTTGCTGTCTTTTCAGGGTAAGGAGAAGTCAGTGGCTGACCTGAGAGATAGCAAGGAGTGTTTGCTCAATGAAGGTGAGAGAGACCACACAATGTGGGATATTTAGGAAACCAATACATGTAAGGGTTATTTCAAATGATAATGTTTAACACTATCATTACACATTTGCTATGTACTTGCCATATGAGATCCAAGCACCTTTCTTCAAGGTTATACTACTTTTATGGAATATTGCATGTTCTTAGAACTTAGATTTTTTCAGCAACAGGAAAACTAATTTTAATTCCCACCCCACTTTCCCAGGCAACATGGCCATTGGTTTTGCACATACAGTGTGGAATGTGCTTATTCCTTTAAAAACAAAACAAAAAAGGAAAAAGACAGCAAGCACTGGCAGATCTGCATCAGTGCCCGTTTATAGTTTTGAAAAACTTATAGCTATGAAAGCAATGAGCTCCCTATCCCTGGTGCTGAAGCGTATTTTCCTAATTTTATTTGAAGCAGAAAATATAAAAATAGGTAATAGAGTTGTATATTTACCATGGATGAAGCATAAATCAAGATGAATACCCTGTCTCAGAGATATTAGATTCTAAGGCAAACTTGTATGTCCAAAGCAGTCTGAGGTGACTCTGAAATGTCAGAATTGCCTCAGAGCCACAGTAGTGGGTATGTGTAATTTTTTCTGGTCAGTGCACTACATTTTGAGCCTCCCCAAGCTCTCCATAAATGGAAAAAGGCATGGAAAAGTAGAGGAATTAATATTTTGGGACTGATAGTTCTAGTTTCCAGTCAAAGAATAACTTCACCAGGGCTCTCCTTTTATTTTCAATCACATTGCTTTCAGGAGTGATGTAAAATAAAATGTTAGAAGAAGCTTTTTCAATGACTTAACTTTCTGTGATGGTTTGGTAGCAATGGTGGCAGCATTGTTCAGGCTTGGGAAGCTTGAGAAACAAACTCAGAGAGAGATGGTATCCCACTGCTAACTGTTCAGTAGGGTGGCTGACTGACAGCTAGCTCCCTGATTCTGGCAACCTTATGAATAGTTCTCTGTTGTTTGGCCAACTTTTCAAGCACCACATCTAAGTCAGTCCACTGAGTTCCCAAACCTTGTCCTCTTAAAGTTCCTCTGCACCTTCTGCTTAAGGCAGAAAGGGTTCTTTATCTTGACATGCCTAAACATAGTCTTGTGTTCCAATATTTTCCCAGAAAAACTGATACAGGAGAAACTAGCCCATGTTCAAGAGGAGTTAGATTTGTTGAACCAGTCTGCCTTAACTGAGGAGAGAAAACTCCTGAAGAGCCAGCAAGCTGCAGCTACCCTGTGAGTGTAATCTGAATTCTGTTTACAGTTTGACCCATCTAAATATCTGTGTTACTTCTATAGACTGTCCAGTAAAATAATCAATTTGTAAATTTCACTTTTTCCAAAAATGGCTTTAAAACAGAAACCAAGTATAATATTTGCAACGGCAAGGCAACCAGTAATCTTGAGCAAAGTAATATGAGAAGACATTAGAACAGTCTTCTCCAACTTGGTGTCCTTCAAAAAACTTAGCTTTTAGTCCCCTTTAGTCCTAACTAGCATAGCAAATGGTCAGGAATGCTAGGAGCTATAGTATAAAACATCTGGAAGGCACCAGGTTGGGCAAGGTTGCACTAGAATACCTGGTGGCTCCTGGGATAGGTATGTTTCATGTGCACAATACATACCTAGAAAGCAAGAAGTAACCTGACAGACTTGACTTAAGAAACATCTCACCACCTCTTTTGTCCCCAGAGAATTATTTCAAGAAGAAAATCACAAAGCAAAAGAATATCTGGAAGCAGCCTCCAAACACAATTTTGATTTGCAGCAGAGATGCAGCAGGTGTGTTGAAGGTGGGAGTATGTTGAGCATGAGTGAGTTCTGTGATAGATGAGAAGTTCTGGGTCAGGGGGCTGGGATCTAGTACAGCTAGCTTAATTTTATGTTCTTGGAATGGGGTGCTCTTTGGTTGTCCTCGATGTTGAAGGATTTTAATGTAAAATTAAATAGGTATAGCTTGTAGACTTTGTAGTTCATTGGTTTTAAGTATTTAGGATTTAATAGGTTCAGGACAAAACATAATGTTGGCTGATTCCACAATTTTTATGCACTATGATTCCTCATATCTCTTTTTATGTATGGAAATATGTTGTGAATTACTTCTGACATAGCATTTTGTAGCTTCTGCTCTGTGGAAGATGATAGTTGTAACTATACTGTTTTTCATGCCTATTTGGATATATTTATGTGTTCCTAATAGTTAATCACTTCCACATGCGCCTCAGAATAAAGAAGAAAGGATTTGGGCATGGTCTGTATTTCAACCTCCCATAGCCTGGTACCTTGCAGATGTTTAGAATGACAACTCTCATCAGCCCCAGCTAGCATGGCCAATAATCAGGCATGCTAGTTAACAAAGCCCAAAACAGGTTGGGGAAGGCTGGAATAGGCAATCAATCCTATCAAATCGTCTTTTAAGCTGTGATTGGAGTACTTTAATCAGTTGTATTATTTGCTTCAAGGAAGGGTGAAACCAAACACCTTGGGTACTTTGAACTTTAATTCAAATTGTGTAATACTTCAGCATTCTTTGAGGATTTGTCTCCTCATTTTGTTTGATTCTTTTTCCTCCTTGTTGTTTACTACAACTGTTCCATCTCTCTTTCAGAGTAAATGCAGAATTGAAGGAATTTGGGATGGAGAATGGCAGTCTCGAAGACTAATTTGAGTTGTTGCAGCAGAAGATGGAGCACAGGTTAAGGGTTGGATGCAATTCTGCCATTCTGTAGACAATCAGTTTCAGTGGAAGTGGGAGGTGGGAAGTCTCCCTGTACCCTACAGCCCCTATATATCTCAGAATTGCTCTGGAGGCCTGGAAATCTCTCCAGAGCACTTTTTCAATGGGCATCAAGGGCTTTAGGGAGAGGAAGGAAGGAAAAGCTCTTGTCTCACTACTGGATTTCTAGAATAACAGTGATTAGGAAGCTATATGTAAAGTGCAGACAAGCTATGGTAGGAGCATTCTCAATGCTGACCAAGTAATAAATGTTGAATTGAACAAAAGAGAAAAGGAGGAGCAAAATAAGGGTGGACTCTGGATCATATGGATGTGCTGGTGATTGCAGAGGGGCCAAGAAATTGTGGGGATGTAGGAATCTGTGCTGGTAACATTAAGGATTGGGGAGAAACCAGGCAAACACTGGTTCATTGTTCTTAGTCTATGTGCATTTAGTGAACACTACAACTCTTCTCAGTACAAGGGAAAAGATTTCATAGGGATTTAAGAACTAACTCCTTAATTTTATCTCTCTTTACCACCCTAGGTCAGGTTAATGTGAGCAGAATCTTGCTTTTAGCATCAAGAAAAATTATTATCCCAGTGGAATCCTACATATTATATGCATCTTCCTGAACTTTGCAAGCCATTTGTTGTTAATAAAATGCCATTATCTCTGTTAAATAAAAGTAGTTTGGTTTCTTTAGTTCTTAATATTTGTCACTGCAAGAAAGGTTCAGCTATGAAAAGGTACAGCTGATCCAAAATTCAAATATCATTTTGGGGTTTCCAATAAAGCTTCATGACAGCAAAAACAATTTCTTCACACAGTGCATAAACTATAGTGTTTAATACTACAAGAAGTAGTGATGGCTACCAATTTGGACAGCTTTAAAATGGTACTAGAGAAATTTATGGAGGAGAAGGCTGTCAATGGCTACTAGTCATGATGGTCTTGATATTATGTCCAGTATCGAAAGCAGTATTCAATACCATCAGTGATATTGGGGGACATCAGTGGGAGGGTGATATTGCACTCATTTTCTGCTTTTGTGAGCTTCCCATAGACATCTGATTGGCTACTGAGGGAACAGAAAGCTGGATTAGATAGATACATATTGATCTGATCCAGAGCAGCTCTTCTTATGTTTCTATGAGCTTAACATGGAACTTATGTGTGATACTGTAGAACTAAGGGCTTCACTTAAGTTACTTTTATTCTTCCCAAAATTAGGATTTATGGTGGCACTGTCAGGCCTATATGTGTATAATTTATTCAGACTTTCCACCTTAATCCTGCTGCCCTATCGAAGTGTATTCACAGCAGACATTACTATTATATCTTAAATAGGTTTTGCAGGCTTCAGAGTATTCAACTGGATAACATAGTGGGAAAGGAAAAGTGAATCTACACATCACAGCAATGATATCACCAATCTAAAACTAGAAGACCACCCCCAAAGACCTCTCACCAGAATAGTACTGAACTCTTGAGATAAATCCATATAATTCTACACCCATGCCACTAATAAAAAAGCATCTGGGAAAAATGAATTTAAAGTTTGAGTTTCAGTATTTGGAATACAGAATGCAACTTTTTTGTGTGAAATGAACTACTTTGGCTCAAAATAAAACCTGTTTTAAGGTTCCTCCTGTACATAGTTCTGGTCCAGTGTTAATTTACTCAACAGTTGTAAAGGAGGAGAGATAATGCTTGGAGGAGAATTAAAGTGGACACAAAATTTATAAAACAATGCAAGAATTAAATAGAAACAATAGCCAGAAATCTATATAGTCTAATCTTCTTAAATAAGTTATTTATAAAATTATTTATGAGTCATTGTTCGGCTCAAAATGACTAGTTTTCAAAAATTTAACTTAAAATCTGTAAGATACTATAGCAAACAGAATTAGAACAAGAGCAAAATCAGTTTTACAAAAACAATGTTAGTTACATTTTAAATTATCCAAAAGGTATGGTGAACAAAAAAGTTTTAATGGCTTACTTAAAGCTAAACAAATCTGAAACTACCCTAGGAAGGGAACTGGGAGACTGCCACAGAAAATATACTGCTGTGTGTTCTGGTTAGCCTGTTTTCTCTGGGATATACAAACAGGTTCTCTGAAGCAGAATATGAGAAGGGTCATATGGGAGAAGGCAGGCTTTCAGATATTCTGGCCAAGAAATATTCAGTGCTTTAAAGTAAGATCCAGCATGCACCTGAAAACAAATTGGAAGCCAGTGCAGTTGGTGTAAGACCAGTATAATATGGTCGATAAGGTGCAGGCCAAAAAGCAGTCTCTGACACCCCCACAGAGAATGCATTATTTTAATCCAAAAAGGAATTGATGAAGGCATGAATCACTGTGGCCAGTGCAGAATCACTTTCAGGAAGGATCACAACTGAGGCACCAACCAAAGCTTGACAAAGGCACTCCTGGACATAGCAACCATGTCATCTTCCAGGAGCTATTTTATTTATTTTATTTATTTTTCTGATTTATATCCTGCCTTTTTCCTACAAAGGGCTCAAGGCAGCTTACATCATTCTCCTCCTCCATCTTATCCCCACAACAACAACCCTGTGAGGTAGGTTGGGCTGACAGTCTGTGACTGGCCCAAAGTCACCCAGTTGGCTCCATGGCTGAGCGGGGACTCGAACCCAGATTGCCTGAGTCCCAGTCCCATGCTCTTAACCACTACACCACACTGGCTCTCATGTATTCAAAAGGCATACCCAAGCTGATCCTTCGAAGGAATGCAACCCAGTCTAAAACAGGCTGGGTCTTCAATCTCAGTGTTGCTCATCTACTAACCAACAGTACTTCAGTCTTCTCTGGATTGATCTGCAACATTCATTTCTTCATTGTACAGTGGTACCTTGGCTCACGAACTTAATCTGTTCCGCGACTCTGGTTGTGACCCAATTGGGTGTGACCCAAGTCAAATTTCCCCATAAGATTCAATGTAAATAAGGTTAATCTGTTCTGGCCCCTCTGAATGTGATTGTGAGCCAATTTTTGGTCGTGAGCCAAGTCAAATTTCTGCTTAAGGTTCAATGTAAATAAGGTTAATCCATTCTGTTACTATTTTTTATCAGAAAAATTTGAAACAGAGTGACAAAGAACAACAAAGTAACAAAGTACTGTACAGTACAGTGGAGAACACTAACCTAGGTGTGGGGGAGGTTATTGTTTGGGGGAGAGTCCCCCTCCATAAGGCTATTGGGGAGATCTCTTTCAGGGGTTTCCTCTCTTCTTTGTCTCTTAGCTGCAGGGTCAATTTTGATGAAAAATCTGTCTATAGTCACTTGTTTTTTCCTGCGCTGCATAACCCTCCAGAAATGAGAGACCATGTTATCGTTCATAAGATTCAACACTCTGTTCGTTACAGTTATGTTGGGGTGGTGCTTTTCAAAGAAATCCTGGCACTCATTCCATTTTTTCATAATGGATTGTATCACATCACTGCTAACCTCCTCCCTGTCTTCCTCTTCCTCAGAGGGATCCTCCTCAGCAAGT